AACCTCTCCTGGGATAACCTCTCCTGGGATAACCTCTCCTGGGATAACCTCTCCTGGGATAACCTCTCCTGGGATAAACTCTCTTGGATAACCCCTCTTGGATAACCTTTCTTGGGATAATCTCTCTTAGGTAATCCCTCTTGGGATATTAAAACAACCTCTTTTGGAGTAACCTTTCTTAGATAGCCTCTCTTGGGATAATCTCTCTCAAGATGACTTCTCCCAAGATAACCCCTTATATAATAGTCTCTTATTAGATAACCTTCTATATAGGCCAGTATATAAGCCAAGGGGGGTGGGTCTGGTGATGATGTTTCAATTTTCCTCAGTGTAGCAGTTTTATTCTAATAGTGTATGTGAAGATACGGAATACTGGTACCTACCTAGGTACTGGCGAGGCAAGTAGTTGCGGCTGATTCCAAGCACTTGAGTGCACAAGAAGACGTTCCTCGCCATTCATAAACACATATGCTAAGGAACCTACATCCATAGTTGTACTGTGTGCTGTTCAGACTAAGTACTGTAGCCAGTCTGCAGTATAGGTTTGGAAGTGCTGTGTGGTTCACTCTCGAACCCCTAACCCTATACGACCCACACTTGGCACGGGCAGATTTCCACTTCGAACATCGAAGTTGCTCCCGATCCCGTCAAGACAAGTGATCAGCTGTACGATAAGAACGCTGGGCATTGCGAACAGTCTCCAGATCGAGGTCCAGATACCAGATTCAGTCTCACGATGGCTAGCAATCTCTCCATCGCGCGGTGTATGCGCACCTCTCCCTCGATCTCGCGGCTCGCCAACAGCCTGCGCGCCCTCTACCTGTCCTCGTCCGCGTCGCGTCCGACCACCGCAATCCCCCTTCCCCTCCGACCGCAGACAGACGTTCGCCAGGCTCGCTCCTTATACCTGCCCTCAAGTACAGCATCGAAATGCGGCCTGTCTGTTGTAGCAAGGCCGGTGGCGAGGCCCCAAGCTGTGACAGCTCTGCAACACCAGATCCGCGGAATGAAAGTGCACAGCTCGATCAAGAAGCGCTGCGAGCATTGCAAGGTGCGCATACATACCTGCTCCCCTTCGCAAATGGAAAATCCGGCGCATCGACCTGATGGCTAATTGGGACACTACAGATCGTGCGGCGGAAGAAGGGCAAGAGAGGAAACGGGTACCGATACGTCATCTGCAGCGCAAATCCCAGGCACAAACAACGTCAAGGATCGTGAGCGACAATAAAATGGAGTTGGCATACGGCAGTGGCAGTGGCTACGGCCAGGAGGAAGGAAGGCAATTCAGTTACTTATGTGCGCGCTACTGGCACGACCATTATGTGCGGACGGGATACACGTAGGGCGGTCTACAGTAAGGACGCTGCTCGGATCAGATCAATGAATTACAGGTATGATTGGATGGCAAGCAAGGAAAATGCACACGCAGCGCCGCATGGCACAGCATAGCATACTGGATGCGGACGGGGACACGGACGGCCGTGACCATGGTCACGGAAAACCATTTGAAGCACACACATATAGTGCACAGCAGGCGGCTCCAGGCTGTTGTACCGTCTTCAGAGACGGTCACATTCCGTCAATATACCTCTCCAATCCCTCCCACTGCGTCTTGCCCGTGGACAGGAGGTACCGAATATGTTGCTGTGGAGGTCTGTCAGTGGCCCGACCAATGTGAAATACGCTGATGCCCTGGGGACAGAGCGAAGGGGTTGGAGATGAAAGAATAAGGGTGGCTGACTAGGTCTTGGACGTAGCGATGTCTCTCAATCTCTTGCCTCGCAAAGAGCCTCGTCTCGTTGCGGGTCTTGTGGTCGCTTATTTTGCGGGTGCCACGCAAGACGGTCCGATAAAGCGCCAGGACGCGGGATCGCTGGAGGAACTGCAGGGCGTGCAGAGAGAACATCAGCCTCGGGTGGCCAGCATCAACCAGCACCAGCACCAGCTGGAGCCAGTGCGGAAGGCACACATACGTACATGATCTAGGCTGACCGTCTCGCCCAACCTCGAGGGGCGATCACGACCATGGCCATGACCGCCGCCGCGGGTGTAGGCCCGGAGCTGGCGCTGCGAAAACAGCGTAAATGCCCTCATTGAACAGAATCCGGGTGAGGGTGTCGTGAGTTATACATGTCCTAGACCGCCTTGAACAAATTTGACTACGCTCGCCGCTGTCTCCCCTGGGCCGGCTGACCTGCGTGCGCTGTATGTAGACTAGACAGGTAAATTTAGGTGGGCTTAGATGGGCTGTGTGGTGAGCCAGAGGGTTTTTTGGGCGCTCCTAGGTGAGCAACGTCATTCAAAGCCGGCCAGGCCTTCTGCTGCAGCTGGGGCACTCGGACCGGGGTCCGCTACTTAGTCTAATCTTGGAGCCGCTCCCTTGTCCTACGCGTCTTGCCGACCTCACAACCCCAGCCCAGTACCCACCAGACAATGCCAGAAACATAAGAGAACAGTAGCAAACTTGTTCTGCCGCTCTATTCCTACTCTCAGCCTTTCTCTTGTTGTTTTCCGTCTTTCTCTTGCATTCTCTTTCCCCTTCCGCCCACTATAGCACAGGATGAAACGACCCAGGCGCCTCGAGCAGATGGAACAAGCCCTTCGTACGGCCAACCGCAAGACAGACCACCACTTCATTCAGGACTTTCTTCTCATGTCAGACTGTCTCCAAACGCCCGAGCTATGAAGAACCACACCTGATAATTTGACTCGTTGGAACAGCCCCTACGTGCCAAGGGCGCCATGGAACCCTGCCTGGACCAACCCGCGCACAGGAGATGCCTACAGCCTCTGCCTCTGCCAGCCTCGGAAGACCATGACCAGCCCCGAGCTGGATGCTTGCTTCGCGCTCGTTCAATCCACAAGCCAGAGTGACTATGAAGGCTCCTCGCGCGGCTGGAATCCATCCGCCAAGAGAGAAGAGATGTGGGATCCGGATCTGCGTTACATCCTGGTCAAGGACTCGCACTTTGCCGTCCAGGGCTTCACCAGCCTGATGCCCACCATCGAGGAGGGGCAGCCAGTGATCTACTGCTACGAGATTCATCTCAAGCCCGAGCTCCGTGGCACCGGCTTGGCGAAGCTGTTGATCGAATTGCTGGAGACGGTGGCCTATAACATCGACGTGGTCGATAAGGTCATGTTAACCGTTTTCACTTGCAACAAAAGGGCTCTTGAATTCTACCTCAAGTGTGGTTTTGTGAGGGATGGGATAAGTCCCCAGCCAAGGATGCTCAGGGGGGGGAAGGTGAAGATGCCAGACTATGAGATCTTGAGCAAACGCATTGAGCACCGACTACTTCCTGCTGCAAAGAGCACTTGCTCGAACGATGTGACCGGCAAGACTGCGCCTTCTCAGGAGACCGAGGTTGAGAAAGGCGATGGAGAGTCGACAGTGGCGTCTCCCAGGCCGGCTAAGATCACGAAGCTCGACCGTGGTGAGATAGGCCTGTGAGAAGGGCCCGGTTCCTGACCTTGGTCGAGACTGCTGCAATTGGGCCTTGCGCCGTCCAGTCCTATCAGGCCACCTGTCCATCGGTCGGAGCTGGTGAGTAGCGCCGTCTGGTGCACCCGTGTCCTTTATCTCGACATGACCAATGTGAGGTTACAGTATCGCTCCATGACTTGGGGTTTCAATAACAGAATCAATCATCGGCAAATGTACCCCAGTCTCCGGCCCACAGTTGGCATAGACTGGAGTCACCCTCGCAACGGTTTGAATGCTGGATCGAAGTACCAGCCAAAGCATCCAACATCACTGCATTGTTGCCCTGTCCGTACTCTGGGAACTTGTGACAACCTTATCGCGTGGTCTTTGTGTGACTGGCATTCGTCCATTGGCTATGAAGCTCGCATCACGTTCTGAGCAAAGAGAGGGCTGGGTCTAGGTTTGACTCAAATGGCTGGGTGCTGCGTGGCTTTGGAGTGTCGTCGTTACGCCGACTTGTTAAGAATAGTCACACGCGAGGCTATCTCGAGCAGGCACGCCTGCTTCATGATCAGGTCAACGTACTTGAGGACTGCTAGATGGTTACGTAGCATACAGCAAGAAGCCAGAATCACACATTAGCTTCCAAAGCTTACACATGAAAAATACGGCTGTGTTATAATAGGTGAGGAAGGTCAGACGATGCAAATTCGGCAAGTGTAGCCATGTTCTGATAAATATCAATATTTGCAATGGCTCTGTTGCAATCTTTTGGCAAAAAATGATAGTTCTCAACAGAGCAACCACCTTGAGATTGAGAGCTATTTCTCACAGGCTTTAAAAAAAAAAAGTAGAACAAGGGAAACAAGTAGATGTTTGAATAAGAATCAAGAGGATTTGAAACAAATTTTGTATCTATCTACAAGCTAGAAAACAAGTCAAGCTTTAACTTTATCAGAGGTAACAAAGAGCCTTTGTAGTATAACTGAGCTGAATTTATCGCCTAAAAATTGAAACTTGTGGTACGGACCTCTGTAATAGGTTCCGTGAAATCCCCGCGGCACTACCGCGGACGAAATCCGGAGTTGGAGACGGCGGGGGCAAGCCCAAGCGTGTACAGGTATATAAGCGCTAAACAGCCCATGTTCACACATATTCTTTTAACCTTGCGCAGATAGATGCCTTGGGTTCCATGGTTCAAGGCCCAACGGAGACTTTCCAAAAATCATGGTTCGACAAATTGTAGTGTTTGGCGCCACCGGCAACCAAGGCAGGAGTCCCTTCTGATACCGAGAGATTCACAGCTGATAAACCCTCCTCTAGGCGGTTCAGTGGCCCAACTCCTCCTTCAGCACCCGAGCCAATACCGCGTGCGGGCCGTGACTCGAAATCCTAGTTCCGGTGCTGCGAGAGCCCTGGCAGCCCAGGGAGCCGAGGTCGTCCAAGCTGACTTGACCGTCCCATCAACCCTTCCCCAAGTCTTCGCAGGATGCTGGGGTGTCTTTGCGGTCACTAACTTTTATGACTCGAATATCAAAGACGACCCAAGCAGTGAAGAGCAACAGGGAAAGAACCTCGTGGATGCTGCTGTTGCTGCTGGGACAGTCGAGTGTCTTCTTTGGTCGACTTTGCCGAGCTCTAAGCAGATATCTGGCGGCAGATTTGTGAGTCAGATATACGAGGGAAAACATCACGTCGACGAATATATCCGGCAGCATAATTTCCCAGCCTGTTTTTTATATACTGGAAACTTTTATGAGAGTGCGTATAATTCGTTTCCTGGCTGGGAGGTGGGAAAGTGCTTGTTAACGCCGCTCATTAACCCTGGTCTAGATATGATACTGCGCTCGCACATGAAATACGATCCAGCGACGGATACTATCAAATTCGAGCAGCCTATCGTCAAGGCTGATACGCAGCTAGCTATGCTCTTTGTGGAGAAGGACCTTTCGGGCATTGCCGTGGCTGTATTTGACCAGTGGGAGTCCAAGAAAGACCAGCTTATCCACAAATACTTGTATTGCAGCAACGCCAGGATTTCTCCAAACGATATCGTGGCCTGCGTGCAAAGGATCAGCGGTAAGGATACAACTTACAGGAGGCTCGAGTCGACAGGTTGGAAGGACAGAGATGTCATGTTCCAGCTGTACAACGAGCTTGGCATGTACTCCGGCAAGAGGATCCCTGACGAGAATGTTCTAGCTCTTGGGATTGACTTACACGGAGTTGAAGACTTCGTACGCAGCCGGCTACTCCCTCACCTCGGGCTGGCCGCTATAGAGGATTGATGCCTGCCATATAATAGTGGCTTTGGTTTTGTTTTGAACATAATGTCTTCAAGCATGTTGTATTGAGGTAGGCAGATTTCGAAATATACCAAAATTCAATTATATTCTTATCAGAAAATTCTATTGTGTACATTATTGGAACAACATCGTAACTCTTAGAAATGGCAACATATTACATTATTGCAAAGCGCCCTATAGCTTGATTACCTCTCCCTTCATATGTCCATCTAATAAGAGATTATCCTATAAGAGATTATCCTATAAGAGATTATCTTATAAGAGGTTATCTAATAAAAGGTGCCCTAATATGAGGTTATCTAGTAGGAAGTTATCCCATAGGAGGTTATCCCACAGGACGTTATCCTATAAAAGATTATTCTATATCTTATAGAAAGCTATCTTATAGAAGGTTTTCTTATAAAAGGTTTTCCTATAGAAGATTATCCTATAAGAGGCTATCTTATAATAGAGCGTCCAATTGGGTAAACATACAAGTCTAGTATTATTCCTGTTCATCTAGTTAGAAATAGAACGGTAGGGGAGATAAAGTGGGAATGCGAACGGGAGCAGGAAGCTGAGGGAACATCTTCCTCGTATGTAACCTTGATGACAAAGCAAATAATCAGGCTAGTTATAACAGATTTGAATTCATAGGGAGATCCCAAAGAGAGAACACTAGAAAGACGTTACCCCTCAACCAAATGAACACCTAAGTAAGTGTAACGGCGTACCCCCGGGGAGGGGGGGGTGTCTTGTTCCTTATTGCGGACAAGCACCATCACGGGAGAGACACAGGCAGTTCCGGCTTACAACCAATCACCATTTCATCCTTTGGACGCTCACAGCTGCGCCGCGGCAAGTTGTAAGCTGATGTCTCACGCCCAGGAGGAAACCCTCTAATTATAAAAGCTGACCTGGCCACATCGACTGTGCCGCAAGGAGCCCACATGAACACCAAGCCTGCCGGGAGAATTTCCGAGAATCATCAATGGGTCCGATAGGGTGAGCGAAGCACAGCTGAAGCTGACGGGTTTCAAGGTTACGCTTCCTGGCCCCCAGGTCGCTGGCTTGGCTTCCTCACTCACAGATAGCGTGAGGCCGACACATAGATACGTTTGACCGTCATGACTTGTTGGAGACTGTGTTTAGGCCTGTTTGAATGGCCCTCTTCGAGGTAGACCCGACGTGCGGATTTAAAGCGAAGCCCCACCCCATTCAAGTTGTCGACTATGCAGGGAGAAAATAACCCAGCTTTATCTGCCAGTCACATCAAATCCACCGTCACCGTCACCGTCACCGTCACCGTCACCGTCGACCTCGTTAGATTTGACACCGATTGTCACCTTATACCTACCAACACCAGGAAAAATGTCTCCGGGTTTTCAAGAAAGCCTGATGGGCTGCTGTAGCCCCTTTGGCTTGTGTTGCGAGGGATTCTGGTGCCCCTGTATTGTGGTGGGCCGTACAACCCACCGCATGAAACACAATGGTAACATGCAAGAATACAGCTGCTGCAATGCTGATTGCGGTATCATCTGTGCCCTGCACGCTTTTGGTGGCTGGGGCTGGCTGTAAGTCTTTGTCCTTGTTTTTGCATGTGGACCACTGTCCACACTTCTCTGGTAGATGCTCATATACAGCTTGACGTAGGTACCAGTGCATGAGGCGTGGAGAAATCCGTGAAAAATACCAAATGGACAAGAACTGTTGTAGTGACTGTATGGTCTCGCTGTGCTGTAACTGTTGCGCGGCCATACAACAGGAGAAGGAGGTCGAGGCTCGGACTTCAGGCGTGGTGAGTGACAACCCTCTCCCCATGCAATACGAGCCAACAAGGCGGATTGGCATCGAACTAAGTGAAGATATCTACAGAACAAGACAGGCTACCAACAGCAGCCGGGCATGAGCGTGTAGACTTTATGGTGGCTACCCAGAGACCTGATCTGGTGTCTATTGCCTATGCAATCATTTGAGAACCTGTCCACGGCGATAGATCCAACCTCATAGCATCCCGTGGGATAACATCCCATTGTATGACATGTTATTGGATAACCTCCCATAGCATAACACCCTATGGTCTGATATCCTGTGGGATAACCTCCTATGGGGTTGGCCTATTGCAGGTCAGCCTACTCAAGATTTGGATGGAAAAGGAATTGTCGGATTAATCTGAGTTTCTGGTTGAAAGATGGTAGCGTCAGAGAGCAGAAGTCTCTAGGCTCTGCGATATATAACATATGTAAACAATTTCCATGAGCTCTTTCCCTTGTGCTGCTGAAAACCGAATACACATAGCATACTTCGGTCTTTCCTGTGATCATCTCTAAGTTGTGGCCCCGGTAGTCCCGGCATATCCGTGCCTCTCAAAATTTGTGAGCTCCACTTCTTGGGCACATTCTCCTTCCGGACTCATAACCAATTGTGCTACAGAGGAAACCGGATGCACCCAAACATTGTGAGGATAGCATTGTCGTCATACAACTAGGGACAACAATTATCTTATCCGAATGAAAGCTTCTTCTGCTTGGGATCTGGACCGGCCTGTTGGCGCCCTCTTTTCTTTTCTGATCCCGTCCTCAGTCTTTTTGGCTCCGGCGTTAGACTCCGTCTTGATGATGTGTTCTGCTCCTGTTGTACGGCATCTCGGATTGTTTGTCGGGACAGACATGCGTCAATGTGAGCATTGAATAGTCTCTCATCTGCGGGCTGCGGTCGACTACAAATGGGACACTCCCACCACTCGTCCGATGCCTGAGGGTCTTTGTTCAAGGGTTCCGGGTTCGACATGATTTCTTTGCCATGCTTTCGATAAGGACTGCCGATTTGTCCCCCCGCAATGATTTCCTGACCATCGATTTCATCCGGTCCGACCGCCTCGTCAGGCATCAACTCCCGTCCATTATCACCATCGACCTGAGTTGTCTTACGCAACACTTTGCCAGGCTCGAGGCTCGAGGCCCGGCTCCCGGGCCTAAGGCCAAAGAACGCCGTCGTGTCTGGCCTCTTTGTGCTTACAAGGTGGGTACATCGCAAACCCATTAACCTGATCGTCAATCCCGGCATCTCCTGTTCGAGTTTGGCAAGTACAGGAACAGCATGAGTGTACAGATCATCTGCAAGATTGATAGCTTTCGGAAGCACAGTTTGGCGGGTGTAGACCTCGTATGTGTGTAGCTTGACCTTTAGAACCAACGTCTTCCCCTTGCAACCTGCCCTTCGCATACTGCAGCACTTAAAATTAGCTATCACAGCGCATGAGAAGAAGAGTTGCGCGAGGTGCAAGAACAGGGGTGTAGGAGGACACCATCTGCCCATAGCCTGTCCAAAAATCTAGAGACTGACGAGGACCTTTCAAGGTCAGCAGTAAAACCGACCATGAGTACCATAGCGCGCCACACAGGCAATCCAGAGGCGGCCAGTAGTACATGCCTCCCGCGGAAAGTTGCTCTTGCCCGAAAATCACGGTCTTGGTCTTGCCTGATTTCTTCTCCTGGTTCCACAGCCACCGTTCCCAACCTCTGGCCTTGGGATTCAAGACGATAGTGCTTTTCAAAGAGAGAACGTCCTGCCCAGAGAAGCTAATTCTACTGGCAGTTTAGAGATTACCTGGGCGGCGCTATGTCTTGGCAGATGTGTGTCCCAGGAGAGATGGAAACTTTGTCGGGAAGCTACTTACTCCTTCTCCAGTTCTTGAGAGGTCCAGCGAAGCTTCTCTCGCAGCTGCTTCGGGTCAGACATGTCATGGAACGTGCTTTCCGTCCCAACAGACTTTCGCTCGTACTCTTCTGCTGGCTGCACGTCCGTACGTCCAATCCCTAGATGGCAGCCTAGGAGGAACTCGAAGGCTTTTTCTCCAAACAGCTGGGTGAGAAATTGCCTCTGGCCGTATATATCGCCGCAAGTTTGTATTCCAATAGCCTTCAGTTCCCGTTCCCACACTCTACCGATGCCGTTGACTTTACGGCATGGCAGATCTCGCATGAATGCCATGATGGCGACACGATCATTGGGCAACACAAACTGCCCATTGGGTTTGTTGACGTTGGAACAAATCTTGGCAAGCTTCGCATTGGCAGCAATTCCTGCAGAGACTGTAATGCTCGTCCTCAGATGCACCTGGCGCCGCATCTGAGCCACAGCATCTTCAGGCGACACGTCATGATCCTTGCAGTATTCTGTGACGTTCAAGTATGCCTCGTCGATGCTCGCGCTCTCGAAACGTGGGTCATATTCGGCGATGACTTGACGCACCTCGTTCGCCTTGGCAGTGTACTTGTCGAAGTTGAGTGGCAGAAATATAAGGTCAGGGCACAGCCTCTTCGCCACAAAGCCGGCCATTCCGGATCGGCATCCATATTGTCTTGCTACGTAGTTGCACGTCGTCAGGACACCAGCGCCGACAGCAAATGGCAGGTCCTTCAGCTCAGGACGGTCGAGCTGTTCGACGGCTGCGTAGAAGGCGTCGCAGTCCAGATGGACGATGTATTGGCTGAGATTGCGAGTAAGCTCGAGTTCAGCGATGAGGGTGTCGGCCTTGCGCAGCTCGCGCGACAAGTCGAGCTTCTCGAGCTGGTGCTTCTTGTCAATGATTCGATCGATCTTGACTGTGAGGATCTTGTCTCTCTCCTCTTCTCGGTTGAAATACTTGGAGCCTTTGGAGGCACTGTAAATGATTTCGGAAACCTGCGAGACGAATGAGCCGCGCGGGGACGAAGTTAGCTATAGCCGTGGCTGACGGCAGCGGGTCGAGACACAGATGCCTACCTTTTTCTGGTCGACAGCGTCCTGGCCAGCCTTCGTCAACGATGGCCCGAGCAAAGAGTATTTCAAGGTGGCATGCTGAGAGGCCACGGGTAACTGGGATGGTGGATCGTCCGGGGCCTCACCGTCGTCGGGCTGTAGGTGCGAGGTCACCGCGTCCGTCGAGCCGGGAGAAATTTGATGCTGGTCCATCTGCTGCAGTTGATTCGTCTGACAGCAAGCATAGGCATGTTCGTGTTCATGATGTGGATGGCTGTTCTGCGCGGTAGGCGTCCTGCAGCCCAGGGGACGCGCCGCGGGTGGTCGGTGGAGACTGTTAGACTCGCTGATGGCGCGACGCTCTCGCGGGCTCACGGGACCGGCCAGGCTGAGTCAGCGGCTGAGAGTTGGAGAGCGCAATGCCGTCTGCGGAGTATCCGCAACCCAACTACTGTACGCCTCGAGCATGTAGACGTGCCCGATTTTAGAGGCGAGTCTGAGAGTCTGCGCACACACAGACAGTCCTTCATGTCTCGCAGCGATGAGATAAAATACACCGCACAATTGGTAGCATTGCCGATTTTTCTTGGTATTAATTTGTGATTACAGCGCACACCTCGGGCGCAGTGTACGTATACTGACACCAACACATAGCTACGTAGATAATCAAGATAAACAGCATCGCCGCTGCGTTCCTGGTGCTGGCTCAGTCGTGTAAACCCCCCGAGACCGGTGATTGAAGCCCTGGTCTAGGCCTCAGCTTCGAGATCATCACGGAATTATACAAGATTTGCTTTATCTAGTCTCTATCGGCACCGAAAAACACAGAGACTTGATGATAAAGGTATACATATCTGTCTCGGAGAGCCCAAGAAATTCTGTCCGTCCGAGACTGCCAGCTTCCAACCAACAGCTCAGTGCTGATACAAGAAATCTTCTCAGGTCAAATCGTAGATAGGCTTATTGATCTTAAATTAAGTCTACAGAAATCGGTCTCTATAGATAATATACCCATAAGAGGGTATCCCAGAGGAGGAAATCTTTAAGAGGCTGGTTCATAACAGGTCATCCTATCAAACGTTATTCTACAGGACATTAATTCTACAGGACGTTATGCTACCGGAGGCATTTCCGAAGGGGCTGGGCCTAATGCTGTGTACAGTCCTTCCAGGTTCGCATAGGGCAACTGACGCCAGACCAAGCGAGCCCTAACTGCTTGCTGCGTGTGTAATCAATGAACAGCGCTTGGATATATCGGGCAAACTGTACCCGATAGGCTGTAAAAGTGTTCGTACCCATCAACAATCCTTCGGGGAACAGCCCTCCTATAAAGTCGCAGCTAGGCCGCCGAGAGTGTGACGATCCCCGGTTATTCCCAGCTATTGCCGGCAAAAACCCCCTGTCTCAGTCGCAGTAGCGGCGCCATCACGAATCGTCGACATTCCGAGCTGTAGTTCTCGCTCTTCCGGCGGCCCCTGTGAGCTTCCTGTTGACTCTGGGCCCGCGTGGCAGACCAGTCTGCCTGCCCAAACAGAGTAACAAGCCTCGAGTGAGGCCCAGCGCATTCCACATGCGGGCGCACTCGGACACGCAGGGCAATAGATACATTTGACTGGTCCCGCCGAGACAGATCATGGACCCATGGATGAGAATCTCCATCTGAAAGCGCAGCCCACCCCTCCCTCTCCTTTTAGATGTAACGCTAGTATTGAGGTCGGTGTACCGACGCGGTAGTTGTCTTGGCCGTCTTATTTCCATCTACCCCCCCCGAAGAATGACCGATATGGCTTTTCCTGCTCAGTGTGCCCACTATTCAAGTCGACATGGCCCTCTGCGATCCTGCTGAAACCTGTCGTCAACGACTCCAACACTGCTCAGGTGCTTTGAGTGCAACACGCCAGAGCTCGATGAAACTCTGACTGAGAGATCAAGCTTACCTTTAAGCTTAATGAAAATGACGACACCGGATTGGTCTGGTCTTGGCGACCCAGCCAGTCGGGATGCAAGCCTGACCATGTCAAAAACACCTCGCTCTGATGATCACTCACCGACGTCTGGGGCTACAGCAGCAGTCACTCAGTCTTGCCATGGACGGGAGGCAGAGAACGGTAGTCCTTCGCAGGGCCGACTGCTCAACGCCTCCTCGCCTATCACCTACCTCTGTATGTAAATGCACAACCCTGCCATGGTCTCTATCCCGTTCCTCATAAGACCATCGGCAGTTCGCCATTCTAGACCAAGTGCCGGATGTTTAACACTCGATAGATCTGACATTCGACACTCCTCTACCGCCGCCAAATACGACCCATGCGTACGCCTCGCCTACTACAGATGCTCCAGCTCAGCCGAACCTCCTCCGTTATACAAACCCAACAAAGTGGCCCACCCATCGCAAGGCCTACCATATGGTCCTCTGCTGTATCGCCACCCTAATGACGGCATATTGCGCCGGCTCGTATTCGCCGCCGACAGCCATCATGGAAGCCCACTTTCATGCCTCCAGAACAGCTGTCTTGACTGGAATAACGACCTTCTGTGTGGGGTTCGCTCTGGCACCTATGGTTCTCGCACCATTCAGCGAGATCAATGGCCGCTATCCTGTTTTTTCCCTCTCGGGCGTAGTGTTTGTAGTGTTCCAAATCGCGTGCGGATTCGTCACAAACCTGGCTGGAATGCTAGCTTGCCGCTTCCTGGTCGGAGTTGGTGGCAGTGTCTTCAGCACAATGATTGGGGGAATCATTGCTGACCTGTGGGAGAAGGAAGGAAGGAACACACCGATGGCTGTGTTTAGTGGCTCAGTTCTTGTGGGTACCGGGCTGGGTCCTCTGGTGGCGTCAGTGATGACCTCTCGTCTCGCAGATAATGGAGAAGCATGGAGGTGGGTCTTCTGGCACCAAGCTATTGTAGGTGCGGTGCTGGTGACTCTTATTGCTATACTGTTCAAGGAGAGCAGGGGCAGTATAGTTCTCAGCCGCAAGGCTAAGGCCTTGAACCGTTGGTATGAGGCCAGGGAAGAAGCCGGGTACTATGGCGTCTGGTTGTCTGAGTCGGAACCAGCGTCTATTGTCGAGGGGATGGCAAGTGACAGCGGCAACACAGCAGACTCGACAGGACCAGAAGACGAAGAGAAGAGAACGGCGGCAGCCCCCACAATCTCGACCACGGTGCGTCTTCGTTGGCTCGTCAAGTCCGATAGTGAGCGTGGAAGTGTCGGCCGCATGATATCCATCTCGTTGTATCGACCATTTCATTTACTCTGCAACGAGCCAGTTGTCTTTTGGTTCTCGGCTTGGGTATCCTTCGCATGGGCTGTCCTCTACCTGACGTTCTCATCGGTCCCATATGTCTTCAGGACAGTGTATGGATGGGACGCTGAAAGCACTGGCTACGTGTTTGCAGCCATCATGATCGGCGGGATACTATCGACAGTAATTGGCATCTTGCAGGACGATCTGCTGAAGCACCCGCAGTGGAGGGCCGAGAATTGGGTTTCTGACGACTCGTCCAGCGAACAGGGAAATCGGCGTCCGAGGGCGGCGACGGCGACGGCCAGATTCTACGCCATCTTGAGACGCCACTTCCCCGTCGAGGCTCCCGAGTCCCGCCTCTACTTCACCTGCCTCTCCGCAACGCTGCTTCCTCTTGGGCTGTTCATCTTCGGTTTCACCTCTAAGGAGACTGTCCACTGGATCTCCCCAGCAATCGCACTTTGCCTCGCTAGCATGGGCATCTACAGTGTGTATCTCGCAACCTTCAATTATCTCGCCGACGTTTACGGTAACTACTCATCCTCCGCCATGGCTGCACAGTCGGCTTGTCGCAATCTTCTGGGTGGTGTGTTCCCCTTGGTGACACTGCCTCTGTTTGAGAATCTGGGGATCGCGAGAGCTGGTGCACTACTTGGTGGCATCGCGCTCGGGCTCACAACAGTGCCGTGGGTACTTGTATTCTTTGGGAGCAGAATCAGAGCGAGGAGTTCAATTGCAGTACATCTAGAGAAGATGTCTTGAGACGGATGCTGCAAGGATAAGCACATTCTTTGTAATTCAGAACCGATGCCCAAGGAGAGCCACTGGCAAGAAATACCCCTCCAATTCCTTTTTTTCCCCAATTGTGGGTAATGGGGGTGTGGGTGGGGGTTGAACGCTGCACTCAAGCCCTCGAGCTTGTCTTGTCTTCTACAGTACGAGACAGCCATGCCTCGCCAGGCGGTAGCAACCCGCTTTCTTCTTGCAATACACCGAGTGGAAGGCGCAGACCCTCTAAGTGCGCCGATACCTGAAAGCTCGGGGTGATCGAGCACTATCGGTGGTGGCTGACGAAGAAAAGACTTTCAATTGAACAATCATCTAGTTCAACGAGTGAATCGTCTTCGCAACCTTCGATCTTTGGCAACCCTCTCTTTCATGCCGAGCCGTTGAAACGCAGAGGCTAGTTGAGTCTGCGCAGAGACACAGCGGCAGATGATATAGACGGATAGAATTTAATTGGAGGATGAATCAAGGACAAGGAATACCGTTAATTGGAGAAGACTTCAAAGGCACCTGTTCAATTCTGGTTGATCCGTACTTATGTAGACGTGATACATGTATGGTGTTCATTGAATAACGAATCGTCGAATCGTCTCTACGATCCGGGTATAGTCATGGCTCTTGTCGAACACCTGCGCATGGTCCAGCTCGACCCAGAGCAATTCAATTCCTGAGCTGGTCATGACACTTGACTTCTTGGCAGCTTCTAGGACCTTGTGGACCTCATCGTTATCATCATCACTGATGAGGTACCGTGCTACAGCCATGGTGTCCACGATGAGGTCGCGCGAGGAGAGGCAGACTGCTGCTTGGCGGCCTGCGACCAACTCGTCCTTGAAAATGATGTTCTCCCTCCAAAAGAAATGTCGCCCCAGAACCAATGCTATGCCTGGATCCATACTCGCCAGGTACCATAGCTGCCACTCATTGGCAGTTCGGGGTGTCCTTCTCGTGAAGTTGTAGGCCACATCCGGTAAATGTAGTAGGAGGGTGACCGGATCGACCAACATGACAGCCTCAACCCTCAGGCTTAACTGCGGGTCGTGCAAGACGTGGGTTGCCATGACAGTGCCGTAGGAGTGCCCGACGAGGACGAATCGATCAATGTTATGGTACTGAAGAATCTTCTTGAGATGCAGTATGAAGTCTGGTCTCGCCAGGATGTTGGACTTTGTCAGCCGCATGCTGATGGGAAGAATCTCAAGGGCGAGTATGGGGCTGGTTGGTGGGAGCGAGGCGAGAAAAGAGACATAGGGGTAAAGGCCGATGCCGATGCCGTGGAGGAAGACTATCGGAAGTGTGGGCAACGTCGCTGTGGCAAGACCCTGAGGACGACGATACCAGTAGCACAGCTCATCGGATGGCGACTGTCGTCTGAAACGTTCGGCTGAGGCCAGCAGGCGAGGGGGGAAAACATGCAGGAGACTCGTGCGCAAGGAGGACGGCCAGAATTCGAAACCGTGCCAGAGCAGGTGGCAATGGGTAGCCGAATCAACAAGGCCGACGGTGATGTACCAAGCAACGCTGCGATATCTGGTGTGGACATGGTCGAAAGTCAGGCGCATGGGCGTGGCACGGCCTCTCCCAGGAGCGAGGGGGCGGCCGAGGAGCTCCTCGGTCCGGCTGATGTATTCCTCAAGCTCGTCCTCGATCTCGGGTGCGAGACTGTCTCGATCGAAGAATGCCCAGAGCAGGAAATCCCTGACATTATCCCGTTTGATATCGTCGGGATGTGCGCCCAAAGCCCACAGGCTCAGGTAGCGCTCTGGATCGGGCACGTTGTCCAGGCAGCGCTGGAAAAGAGCCTTTCTGTCGACATCGTATGGCGGGTGCCTGGCTGAATGCGACAGCCTACGCTCGAACGGCCTGAGGATGAAGAAGTAATAAAGTCCCTCAACCGGCAGGAGAACCCAGAAGGGGGGAGGCAGAAAGGGTATGATGAAGGGTAGGTATGCGAGAATGAAGACACAGGTACGGATGAAGACCAGCTCATGGGTCGTCGGGTTGAGCATCGCGCGTAAGGACCCTGTCGCAGCCTTGGGTATCCTGAAGGGAAGAAGCAATGTGTGTTGATAACGATGATGGCGTTAGGGTTGATGATGATGGAGATGGCGAGGGCGAGGACGAGGGCGAGGTTGATGGGCAGGTCCAGGGTGCTGGTCAGATGTTCAGCCGATATTTCAGAGTACGGGACCCGTACCCACATCCATACTCGCTCGTTCGTTGTTCTTTCCACCTGGCAGTGGCACTCGCATAGGGTGTAAGTAGATGGTCTACCTAGGTACCTAGCTGCGCAGTGAAAGGGGCTGACTGATGCCTGGGATATCCCGGGGCGACCTGTCTACCAAAAGCCGTCTGCACTACGTATGGTAGACTACGCCGATAGTTCTGTACGGTGTGTGAGTGTTTCGCATCTGGAATACTGTCTGTACTTAGCACCATGTGCAGGCTTCTTCTTCTTCTTCCATGGGCCCTGCGGATGCGTACCCACCTGCCTCGCACCGGCACCCGACAGTCGAGTACCACTGTAAAACTCCACAGGTCGCGCCTACCTCGTTTGACGCGTCTGTGTCAAGACGACTGCCGAGGTATGACGTACAGCGCAGCGTGTGTCTTGTTATCTGGATCATCTGATAAGACATGTGCGAGCCGCTGCTCTGTGATGGCCCTGTGGGTCCCCGCCTTAGTACACACAAGTAGTTAGTCAAGCTTAAGCTTGGCCCATTTTCTGCCTTCTGATTGATGACTTTTGACTTCAATTCGCAACGGCATTCTTCTGCAGAATGGGAAGCATATCCATTCGCAAACACATCCGATGGGGTGCGGAACCCCCCTCAGAACCCACCTCCACACTCGTCCTCACCTCGCCCGGCCGTCGCTTCGTTGACATCCGGGTCCTCACAACCGCGTCTGCCGGTCTGGACTTGGACAGCCATCTGGGTCACGAGAGCTTCGGCAGTCTCGCAACAGACCGCCTGGACTGGGCTTTCGCCGGCACCTCGTCCTCCACAAAGGCCACCCGCCCGGACGGCAGCGAAGCCACCCACTCCGTCTTCAATCACTGGGTCGATAGCCGCACCACTGAGCCACAGCTTGTCCGAGATGAAGGCGACATGGTCCCTTGCCCAGGTGGCCTGGCTCTTGAGGTCGGAAGCATGGTCAATCCTGCCACCGGTATCTTGACAGCATACGAGGAACTTTGGTATGATAAGAAACCAGCCCTTACAAGCGCCACACCACCCGAATGCATCGTTTTCCAGCTCTTGGATGAGCCAGGCGCGAGACGGGGCTTGTTTGTCCGCCTCGGTCCTTACGCCCAGGGCGTGTTACGAGTCGGAAACACCTTTACGGCTGAAAGATGGGCCTGGAGCGAGAATCTGTCCAGTTGGGAGCAGATTGTCAAGATTGGCGACAATCATGATTCCCTGGGCTTTCTACTGGACGAGCAACGGCGGTCCGACAAGGTAGGCGACCAAGTTGAGGCTCCTATGGGAACCTGGACGGTCATTGAGCAATGCATCTAGACAATATATGCTCTGGCCGCCCAATCAGAACGCACTTTCCACAAACTTGCATCGGGCGGCCGGTCAGGCACTGCCGGAAGCCTTGGAAAAAGTATTGGTCGTCCAACTTGTTTACAACAATCTGAACACCAGTTGCTAGCACGTGAAAATTTCGTGTTGCGTCGAAGACCCCGGCTGCGATGGGGTCGAATCCCATAGCACGTCTTGTTTACATGGCAGGCTCTCAGGGTTCTCGGGCACGCGAGAAAACGTGGGACTAGTGGGCGCGTGATTAGGTGTCAAAGTCAAGCTCCATAATGGATGAAGCTATCGACGGCGCCAGTTCGAGGCTTATCGAGAAGTCGCCGATTTATTCAGGACTAAGAGCTTCCCGCGAGTTTTATTTTATTGCAAATAATTTAAATTTAAATATAGTGGATATCCCTTGATCCGACAAATGTTTCCCTTTACATTTTCTCTTCCTATTCTCATCGATCTCGTTCTTACCTGGATTCCAGTACCTACTGCCCGATCATACTGTTCCACAGAATCAAAGTCTTAAACCGCGACATTTACTTTGTTTCAAACATTCACCCGTGTTCAGAATATCAATCAGCTTCGAGATGGACAACTTCAACTCAACAAGTATGGTCTCCGCCTTCGTTAAAGCCACATCGGAGGGCCCTGCAGCAGCCAATACCAGCACATCACACCCGCACATTCCAGGGCCCGGCGATCATTCTGTACGCAATCCTATGATTGTTGTGTACATACTAATTATTGCCATGTAAGCTTGTCTTGATCCCATTCCTAGTCTTGTTCTGTGTGACTTCGCCCACACTATAGCAAGGACTCTGCAACTTCTCCATTGCGCTTTGTGTATAGTATTAACACTGGGATTACCAGTGCTATTTTCTTCTCGCTCCTGATATGGCGAGGAATTCACCAAAGTCTCATGGCAGCACGTGCTAAACGGCTTTCCGATCCGGAGCTCACCTACAAGACAACTAGTGTGTGGCTCAAGCTGTTCAGATTGGTCTGGACTGGCCTCAAGGGTCTCCTCTTGTCTTTTATGGACATGTTTACGAAGAAATACTGGAAGGACATGTGGAGCGACACGAAGCAAATCTGCGCTCCCTTGTCTTCATGTGGCATATGTTTGAATGCTTATTCCTGCGGCCTCGTCTGTAATCCAGCCACGGACGATGGAGTTGGCCTCCCAACCTCAGAGGAGCGAAACGGCGTCGCCGCCTAAAACATCATGGCAGTGCCAGAGGCGTCGGGTCCTCAGCAGCCCATCCCCGCAGTCGTCATCGAGGCGATTGTCTGACGAGCTGTCCTGGTGTCTAACTGAGCAGTATGTTTTTCGCATGGCTACCCGCGTTTCCCTCTTCCTGTTGCTAACACTTCGAAAGTCTCCATAACGTGCGGTATCCTGATACATCTTGATGGAATTGCCAGCTCAAAAGGACATTAATGGACTCCTTTCTAGAGATCTGCGGACATAGTTCATAACCTCTATAATGCGAGGCTTGCATAGCATCAGGATCAACCTGGCGGGTATTTGTCTGACATAGTCAACGCAACGTCGTGCGGATTTATTTCTTTGAAGGACGGTGGGCCATCTAGTTAGAAGATCAGACAATTTGAGTTTTGCTGCAATCACCTACTGCTGTGATGCCCAACGCAAATCTGGCATAGTCCCGACAACATCACGATTTGATAATGTCCAAGAGCTATTTTCGTAATTAGAACATGCCATGAAATCAGGCATCGCCTCTTTTCCGCTCCACGGTACATGGATATGCTCTAGCACATGAAGCGAGCCCCGTCTTATGCTCTGCACAAATTTTCTACCGATGCTAATTCTAACTCCACGCGGGAGGTTCAATGTACCTCTGGTTCCTAATCCACGGTGTCCCCGTCGTCTGTTGCGACAGGTTTCTGCGCAGGTAGGTCCGCGTCACTGAGGTGTCTCCTTGCTTGCTCTAGCGCCGCTTCCCCGTCGAATTCATCAGAGCCCTTCGCAATCGCAGCTTGGTCCTCACCAGTGGCAGCGGTGTGTGAGCTGTATGCGTGTCTGGCCTTGGGCTTCAGAGTGCCATCCTCGTTGATGTCCTCTTTGAGATAGAGAGTAAACAAGATGGTGAGAAGGACTTGTCCAGTGCTCTTGTTCCGAAGGACATATCTGAGTTGATGTGAGCGTTTCTTCCTGAACAAGAGAGCCATGCGCGTTAACCTAAGCAAACCCACGACGACGATCCTGCAGTAAAGAACGGGTTGAGAAGGACATATGGCAGGGTAAAAAGAAAGAAATACTCACCTCAACCCCTGGCCATCCCAGTATTTCATGATCGGCACCGCATATCCTGGTAACCTCAGCGCAAACTCGCTAAAGTCCAGATACGCGTTAAAGAAATCCACCGCATACGTCCTCCCATACTCCCACACCCAATCTTTCTTACTATCTTCCTGCAGCGCCCACTTCATCCTCGCCCTGCTATCCTCAGGCGCGCCAACGTCCTCCCTCCACTCCGCATCACCGCCTTCCTCGACCCAGAGCCCACCCTTGGACTCGTCTAGCACGGCTGGACCGACCTACAATTCAGGAGTTAAATTTCATACCTAACAGAAATGTGAGGGGTGATGGGAAGGTGACACTGTGCAAGTAGAGCCCCGGGGGGGAGGGGATTGCTAACGTGAATGTGATTAAAGGACGAGAGTGCCGGCCCAAAGAGGTACGGGCTGTCAGCATAGGGGTCTCCGTCCAGGCCTGGATCAATCCACCATTTCACAATCTTCATGGCATAGCTGAAGCCGGGTGGAAGGCGGTCGCGGATGGGGTGGTCAAAATCGTTACCAAATTGGAGGTCGGAGCCGGAGATTCCCTCTGGCTCTAGGTCGTCTGGGCTGGCATCCTTGGGGTGTTGCGGTGCTTTTGCAGGGGCGGGCGCCTTGGGGGTAAACTGGAATGCGATGCTGTACTGGTCCTTGTTCGTGCTATGAGGCTCCTGGTCGAAGTAAGGTGATGTTGCTGGAGAGTTGCGCGGCAGGCCACGGTAGTTCTGGATGCGAACGTTGAGCTCGACGTCCATGTGCTCCGTGCTGATCTTGACTGGTGTGGGGCTGTTCACCGGGACCTCGGTGTGGTCTGCCAGGTCATAAGATGGGCCTGCTGTTACCCTGAGGATGTATTTGTCCGCCATGTTTGCCCGCCTTGATTCAGGCAGCTGAATGTCAGATATGTGCTTGACTTGGGCGAACGAGGAGCGAGACAACGGGTGTTGATATTGTGGTAGAACTATGCTTGATTGGGTGCCATGTACTCAACAAAGAGTGGGGTGGAAGTCGAGGGGTTCAAGTTCAAAGGCTGGAAGGATCCGGCGAGCGCTAACCAGAGGTTGTCATGGTTGAGGCGCGCTCAAGCAGATTTTCGAACGGAGTTTTGTGATGACGTCGGTCCGCCAGTGGGTCGTAAGGTCGTAAGGCGACTTACTATTCCTGTAAAATCTAGACTATCTGGGTAATCGAGTGCTTTATCCACGCTACAGTGTGCACGTATCCAAGTACCCAGGTACCTCGCAAGCCGCCTGATTGGTCACTAAGTCCGGACTGAGTCGCTGCGAGGATCTCGACTGTCATTATTGCTAAGACGAGTGCACTGCTTACGGCTTCAGAGGGTTCTTGGAGGTGGAACACCCGTGCCCACAGACGACCCAAAACCAGATGCGGTCGCTTCAAAAGCCTCTCATAATACGCGGTATGCTCTAATATATTTCAGTGTTGTGGGAGTCGGGCGGACGTCCATCCATGACTTCGTTTACCAGAAATCTGGGTGGACCTAAGAGGTGGCACCCAGAATCAGATCACTCGCTGTCCTCCACGCCATCATTCTACATTCGAGACAGAACAGAACCTAGCGCATACTGGACAGGTCGGCTGGGGTGAAGCAACGCTTCTGAAAACGGCACCCCGAAGCCCTGAGGAGGTGCAGCATCATCGCCTTGCAGTGATAAATTAGAATGATGTGGAGACAGGATCACGTATCATGTCCCTTACCCGAGGACCCATCAGACCTCTTCACCACGCTCAGGCTCAGTAGACAGGCGGGTGTTAGTTGGGTACCAGAAATTGGTCGATGTCAACCTTCTCAAAGAAACTGATATGACCAAACCCAACCCAGTACTGGGCCAGCCTGCTCTCAGAAATCAGGAGCAACTGGGACCTGATGTACTTGTCTGTTTACACCGGGCCAAATTAGCATCTAGCTCGTTTTCTCTTCGTCGTGGGAGGGGTTAGCAGGCTTGCCATTCACGAATCCCGTCTGCGCAACATGGCCTTTACTCCTTACCACCCGGGCACCCCTGAAAGGCTCCTCGTCGATCATAGTCACAAATCCTTCATCGCCAAGGTCTTCCGCTACAAAGGTGCATTCACCGCGGGGCACGTTGGGGTCCCCGGTCAGCTTGACAGCCTCAAGGCGGCCACGAAATCTTCTGGCGTCCGTCTTACGCTGTTCGAACTCTGCGGAAGACTCATCTTCGGCCCGCGTCGCATCAAAGGCCGTCTCGTCAAATTGGGTTAAGTGAGTCTGGGTAATGAGCAGAAACTCGCACCCGTGAGCGCTATAATCACCTACCCATATCCCCTTCCAGGGCTGGTCGGTGGTCGGGGTATATAGTTCAGGGTCCAGAGTCGAATACGTGGTAATCTGGTCGCCGATGTGCGTACTCATGGAGGGGTGCATCCCGGGGATGTAATTCGACAACCAGGCCCGAGAAGCCTGTCCAAAGACAGCGTTGTTAGCGGGCCAGTCGTTGTCCCCGAGAAGAGAGGGCCCGATCCAGCCCATCGACACCCCACGCAGCCCAGCGGGCCGCATTTCTATCCACGAGCGGATTCTGAACGACCTTTCGTTGATCTCAGCCCTGGTTGTAGGCCTATCTTCAGGGCCGATCAGGTCGCCTGCAGATACCCTGCTGGGGGCGGGAATGGCGGGGGGCGGCCAGGTATTACCATAAGGAAAAGGTAGGAGCTGGCGCTCGTTGGCTAGAGTCTCTGGGAGAGAGCGAGCCAGTATGAAGGTGTTGAACATAGTGTCAGTGAACCTGTTGTCCAGCGGCATGGGAGTTTCCGCGGAGAACCGGTTGAGGTGGGTACTTGTTGAGGCCTGGTCCACGGCTGACGAGAAGCCGCTGGGCCAAGGGACTGTGCTGGAAGGGATCTTGTAAGAGGGTGCTGGCGACCTCCCGGTAGTAGCGCGGATGGCATTTTCAAGACTGTTGGCCCTCATCTGCAGCACAGGCTTGTCCAGGTGCAACTTCAGTTCTGGCTCAAACTCGTGGATGACAAGCTCCTGCTCGCTCAAGCTCTGGTGGCTGGTGTTGGTGGAAGCTATCGGCCGGTTGGCCAAGAGTTGATAGCCCTCGATGACGCCGCGACGCTCATCGTAGCGAATAATGACCAGCTTCCCGGTCAGGTCCCGGTCGCAAAACCAGACCTTGTATTTTGTGAGGAACCAGCGCGGATCGTGTGCGATGTATAGCTCTCGGAAAGATGCACATGGGCCCGGGGTCGTGAGCCTGATGCCAGGCACGTTAGACTGGACAAGATCCTGCCACAAGTGGTCGACAAGAGAGTGGGCTCTGAGCACGTGGTTCGTGAGGGAGACGGAAACGAGGTCGAAAGGCGACAGGTAAGAAAGAATGTAGTTGATGAGCTCCGAGGGGAGGTCGGGCAGGGAGATCAAGCCTGGCCGTGCCATAGTCGAGTCTACTTGAGCCAAGTCAGCTGGTGCGCGCGACAAAAGACAGCCCCGAGGAGACCAACCTCGAGGAAGACGCTCGGGTAGGCAGCCTGCATCCACAGGCCATGGCCCGTTGACCTCGTCCATGGTGGCCGCGCCGAACAGCGAAATGTGTGGCGGGAATCAGAGCCAGGCCGAGTGCTGTGCTGTGCTGTGCTGTGCTGTGCTGTGTTGTGCTGTGCTCCGCTGCTGTTGATGGTATGCTAAGAGGATTCCCAGCTGGGGGTTTCCTTGGAAACCCTAGGTAACGTGTGAAGACAACGCCTCAAGTTGCAAAGGGGTCGGGCAACGTCCCGACCCGACAGTGAAACTGGGAGAGATTGCACCCACAGCAGGTCAATTGGTGTGCGAGCCGGGGAACATTGGGCGCTGCTACAGTACCAGAATGCCGCCAGCATTCCAGCGAGGTCAAGCATCGGTATCAGGGTCGCAAGCCAAGTTCCATCGCCGTGGGCCGACGACTACGTGCAACGCGTAGATGTGATGGTTTCAAGTTGGCCTGAAGCGACATCGGCGGTCAATGATGCGACCAAGCGCAGGCATTGCAGAGGTAGATATCTGCTGGACGTACCTAGTTACAAGGATGGGCCTCGGTACAGCCTGCAGCATGTACAAGGTACCTGATCCCCTCAGGACTTCCTGAGGCGGTTGTTATGTTCTTACTTCCAAAGGTGGTGCTTGGCAATCCGCCATACGCAGCGCCTCCCGCCTCCCGCCTTCCGCCTCCCCATCCAACAGCCCACACAACCTCCAACGGCAACAACAAGCCTCGACGTTGCAAGCCTCTGCCTGTTCCGAGCGACAGGACTCTGATTCCAGCCTCCTCTCCGGCTGCTGCTGTCGCGGACAATCCACTCGGCCGTCGACGCTGTTTCTTGCCCTCTAGGTCGGAGCCTCCGTTGTCGACATCACCACTCTCTTCTGGTACTGTGTCCAGGCCACAGGGTGATTCTCGACCCCAAAGCCGGCATCTCTTTGTCCATCGCGGCCTTTCCTCAGACCGCTTAGTGGAACCTCGTTACGTGGAGCATCACCACTCACGGACGTATCAAGGACGTGTTACGCCCGCGCCGACGCCTTCCTGCCGCGCACCGCGTGACAGATGCACCACAGCCTTGCGGCTGCAACGGAGCAGGCTGCCTCCATACCTCCCTGTTCGGTATTTCTGAATCTGCGATCTACGACTTGTGTTGAAGATTGCGTGCCGTCGCAGTCAAAGGAATCATGGCGTCACTGCTCCCTCTGCTTTACGACTTGCTACCTATAATTATGCCCTCAGAAGTTCACATCTCTCGTGACAGAGACTTGACCCCTGTATTTGAACGGGCAGAGGGACCACCGTATCATCAGAGACAGCCTTCTCCTGCACCAACAGATCCTCCTGCGCCGGGACACGAGCGTCAGGCCGCCTTAAGCGCCTATGATGAGCAAGCGAGCTTCCCAGTAGAGTCAGATCAGGGAAAGTCGTGCGAGCCGATACAGCTGCTCGACCGTGAAGAAAGCTCGGCTACCCAGCCCACACCCAAGCCCATCTCTACTAGCGATGACGGATCCAGATATAGTGACAACTACACGCCTTGCCACCCAGTCCCGAGTGCACAGGTCAGCGGGCCGAGACTATTTCGCAAAGACGCAATGGTGGGCGTCACAGACAAGATGTGCGCGACAGGTAAGCCCATACCCTTCCTTTGTATTTCCTAGGCCTGGTACTACATTGTCTGCGCAACCCGTCAGTTCCTCTTTGGCTCTCCCTCCCGAGCCATGCCTTGCGTTGCCAGGCCGTACTTGAGACATTGTAACCGGAATTTTTGCAACAGTTCTGACAGTGGGGCCGAGATCTGCTTCGGCTGTCCGTCATCACGGTGAGCAAGGTGAGCCTAGACTTTTCTATCACATGCTGTCAATTAGGAAAGCTTGCAACCTAATGGCTTGCTCTCAGACACCATAATCTATGTGACAAGAGGCTGTGGAGTTCTCCTTATTAGTCCTGCGCTGGACCCTGTCAGGGCCATCAGGGCAGATATCAAGGGGGAGGCTCCCACTCGTGAAGAAGAGCAGCCTCAGCGCCATGAGCTTTCGCCCGGTGATTTCGTTTTCATACCTGCCTGGACGGAGCATCAAGTCGTAAACGAGGTTGAGGAGGGCGACATCGTCTGGGTCTTGATCCAAAGTGGAGGCGAGCGAGTGCAGGTTGATTTAGATGGTTGGGGTGGTGAGAGAATTCAGCAATGACCAGGACGAGAAATGTCCTCCGGGCTGTGACAGCATCTTCGGGCGACCATTGTATCTCAAATGCCCTGCCCGGAGCTCCTGCTTAGCCAGGGTCTCGCGCTCGCTCCGGGAACTTAGCAGGTGCTCAGTTCCTCATAGTTATCCTTACCGTCTAAGAGAGACCGAGAACAATCAGTCATCATCGCTTGTTGAATTGCAGGGGGGAATGGATGCATCCGTAAGCTCTGTGTATGGTCCTGAGATTTATGTAGCCAAGGATACCATCGTTCATTCTAGCAACGTTACTGCTCTCCGCTGCTTTATGGTTTAGAATCCTTGTTGACCGTTTGCTACAACGCGACCGATCCTTTTCTCTCGCTTCGAACGAGTTTTGCCTCACATATTCTATAGTATCTATCGAGAAAGGATCATGGGAAGTTCCTGCAAGCCCAGACCAAATCTTCTAACGACATTGTAGTGGAGTTCTTGCTGGATAGCCTATGGACAGGTGCTCTGATGCAGTGGTTCACTTCTGTCATCTTCAATATATGTATCATCTCCGCGTCTAATATGTCACTTCAAAAGTTGGGTGGATCTGTAAGTGGTGTGCATGGAGACCGTTGTCAGCAATTCGTGATCTTCTCCGATAGCCCTCATGTTCAAAACAGCTATCTCTCTTCTGGGTGTGACTTGGTCCGATATTCCTCAATTGTCAACTCTACTATTCATCAACGGGCTACCCCCCCCCCTCTGGGAGGGCCGGGGGGTTGCAAAAGATGGGTCTCTGATCACGCTCCAAATACCGCTCACTTCAATTTGATCATATAGTTCACTCCGCTGACTGTACTTCTGGGAAGGGAGAATTAGTGTTATACACTATACCTCCCTCCTATGCCATTATTTGGTCTATATTTACACTGGTAATAGTAACATGGACTGCTTGAATTAGAAAGCAAATAGAGACTTAACAGAGAGAACAGGTGCTATAACATGCATGCATTTAGCCTGGACTCTATATAAGTGGCTAATACCTCTCCTATTTACCATTCACCCTAAAATTAATTCTAAACATCCTTCTATAGCATATCCCGTTCAGGCAATTGAAACTTATACACTTTAAAGTTTGTTTATATTAAAAAAGTAATTTCTTTTTATTTAAATAAAGTATATAAATAAGATTTATAAATTAAAAATATATTAATAAAAAAAATTATTAGTAATTTATTACTAAATTAATTATTTAATAATATATAAAAGCTACTTTTATAATTAGCTATAAAATAATTAGTTATAAAAGAATTAGCTATAAGATAACTAGCTGTAATATAACTATTATAAAAGAGATATAAAAGAGGCAATACTTGTAAGTTTTACTTATTATTATAAAATTCTAAATAAAACTTTATCTTACTAAAAAAAAAAAGAGTAGGAGAGAAGAATGCCTCTAATTACAATTAGGCTTTAAAAGCAAAGGGCCTTAGAGCTGCAAATAGTTTATACGCTGTGGCCCACCTGCAGTCACTCAACCTGCCCACGGCGCCATTACAATAACCAGATATAGGATAACCAGCTGTAGGATAACTAGCTGTAGGATAACCAGCTGTAGGATAACCAGCTGTAGGATAATCAGCTGTAGGATAACCAGCTGTAGGATAATCAGCTGTAGGATAACCAGCTGTAGAATAACCAGCTGTAGGATAATCAGCTATAGGATAACCAGCTGTAAGATAACCAGCTATAGAATAACCAGCTGTAGAATAACCAGATATGGGATAACTAGCTATAGGATAGCCAGCTGTAAGAAACTAGCTATAAGTTAAACAGCTATAGGATATCCAGCTATAAGATAACTAGCTATAGGATAACTAGCTGTGGGATAACTAGCTGCAGGATAACTAGCTATAAAATAATCAACTATAGAGTAATCTCTTATAGTATAACCTCCTATGGGGAATGATTATAAGATGATGGTTTAAGGGACAACCCCTTGTATACTGCCACTTCCCTGTTGGATAACCTTCTTTACCTAGGTAGTAAGCCACGAGAGCTTTTCTTAGAACGTTTTCTTCCGTCTGCCTTGTAAGACCAGTACATGTAAGCCCATACACTACGTAACCACAAGGGTTTCCTTGTTGATGCTACTACAACCTGTAGACAACGCACATCTTGAACTCCTACAGCGTATGTACCGCTGAGTTCTTAGTAGCTACTCGGAACCTTTTTCCATATGGTATGAAAACTGCTAGTCCGAGGACCGACAGGCCGACTGTTGCGGCCATCAAGGTCAGCAAAGGTGCAATAAAGCCATGTTTCGCGGCCCAGTCGTTGAAGAAGAAGACCATCCCGAACTGTTCGACCCCGTATCAGTCAACCTTATCGGATAATTACAACGGTATGGCTCACTCACCCCAAATGTGTTTTTAACAACAGTCGCCGCGATCATGATCTCACCTGGTAGGGATTTATAACTGTCCACAGCGTACGAAATAACAATAGACGGTATGCCAACAGTTTCAAGCCCCACCATACCATATCCCACTATTACCACAGCTTCCCACGGCCACCCTCTTTGGTATCCAACGGCAGTCACCACCATTCCGACCAAACAGGCCCCGACATACGGCACGAGGCTTAACAGCCTCATCTCGGCCTCTAGAACCCCTCCGTTGCGCTTTGCCCGCCGCAAGGCGACCCAGTCGCTCAGAGGCCCAGCCGTCAACAATGCCAGGACTGCTCCAACAGCGAACGCGAAGTTGGTGTATCCTATCTGTGCACTGTTGAAAAGGTAGGGGGGTGCGGCGAAGACCTGCGATTCTGTGAGGTTAAGCGCCAGGGCACTGTTTGCTGCGAAGCCCATCGTAAAAGAAGCCCATAGAACGATTGGGAAAGAGAATATCTGTATGGGCGAGACGACGTCACGCAGGATTTGACCCAGGCCGTGAGAGAAGCGCGGGATGGGGAGCAGTGAGAATTGTACAAGTGAGGGACGACCAAAATGCCTCAGGCCGGATGTTGTCGAGGGGCCATGTGTAGGAGCTTGAGGGCCGACTTGCTTATCCGCTGCGTTGGAATTCCCAGATTGTGTTTCGGTCTCAGAGGCGGATGAAACAGTAAGGCGTTCATACTTGGTCTCTGGATGAGCAATAATGAGGAAGACCAGACTGGCGGCCTGAAGAATAGCGCAGGCCCAGAAGAACCACCTCCAGCCAGATTGAGCAGCAATACTTCCTGAGATGACGGGTCCGATAAAGACACCGATAAAGTATGCCCAAAAGTACAGCGCCATAGATCTTCCCCGTTGGTGGACAAACAGCAAGTCGCATATGACCATCGGCATGAGCGATTCGTTGGCTCCAGCCCCGAGGCCAGAGAGAACGCGGGCACCGATGAAGCTGGGAAAGGATGTTACCAGAGCTTGCCAGACATTTGCGAGAACACAGATTGTTCCGCAAATGATGACAATGGGCCGCCGGCCGAAACAGTTTGCCAGAGGTACGATGATAAAGTTGGCATAGCCGAGCGTTATGGCGGCAACACCGAACTGTAGAGCTTTAATTAGATAGCGAAATAGTGCTAAATTGACTAGTACGTACTAGTAGGTTGACCTGAGGGATGGATTTGTGGAACTCGGCCTCAAAGATTTGGGTTAACGGGGCGATAGAAAGAGTCGTCAGAATGCTGACGAAGACGAAGACGAATTGATTCACGATCACAATTGTCTTCCAAGTTACGCTCCAATTCTACGGCCATACGTGTAAGTCTCTCCAAGGGGTGGGCTGGGTTCTAGTTGTCAGGAGGAGCTCACCAGCGGGTCATCTTCATTGTTGGTCGGATTGGGTATCAGAACAAGTTCGCGAGAGGAATTAGAGTCGCCGTCGGTCTCCCGGTAGACAACCTCAGTCCCTGGGATAACGATCTCTGTGTCTTGGAGGCCCATGGCGTCGGTGCTGCAAGTGGAAGTATATCCAGCAATGTGTCCGATATTCCTGAAGCGAGCTCCTGCTTGGAGGCTAGGCTGGGATGTATATATGCTGATGAGTATCTGATCAATTCAAAAATCTGTGCGACCCGACCGATCGGGGTTCTCCCCTTTCCATATGCAACGCTCATCGGAACTTAAGGCTGCCTCATGGCAAGCGATATAGCCACTTCCCCACTGGGAATAATCCGTACATCAACTTTGGTATATTGCACAACCCATTTACCAAGCCGACACTGTCCTGTAGTCATCGAGTTGGACTTGAAGCTACTGGTCTCTCTGTGATGAGCGGCCGCCAGACGCGTCCGCAGATTGAGGGGGAAGGCGAGCTGAGCTAGAATACTACACCGCTAATGCGTCCTGCACTTTCTTCTCACCTCAGCCTCGGACGTCCGAAGACTTGGTGCTGGATACCACCTAAGGTGCCTTCGACTTGAAGCTGCATCACAGATCACACACGCTCTCTGAGAGACCTTGAAAGGCCACTGATCCTGGCCAGTAATCCTCTGCTTACGGGGCACTTTGTTGCTGATCCCAGGGAGCAGAGATCTACTACCACCTCAAGAATAGGAATTCTTCAATGGACTCAGCGTGAACGCAGCGTGGAGTCTGAACTTGCAAGGTTCCCCAATGTCACTCGCGCCTTTTCTTTTTCCTTCTTTTTCTTTTGGAGACTGGCTCGTGAACGATGCACCTATACTGCACACCATTTCCTCACGCACTAGTGATTACGTGCTACCTCATGACCAATCTTAGAATCGGTTGAGTGCTGTATATAGGGTAGGATTTTCTATTTCTGAGATGCACTTAGGCTTTCGCTGTGCACGGAAATACAAGGTAAATAATTACACGCCCATGGGCTGCCTAGGTGTGCTGATTCTGGTCGTCCCTCGGTAGTCTTTATAATGCAAGCAACGCATGACGATTATAATTGGTCCTCTTATGGCTGGTTACCCTGCAGCTGGTTGTCTTGTAATTATTTAAAGACTTGTCCGAAACGCACAATAGTTTCAAAGCCGACTCTTGTCACATTTGTTGCCTTCTCCTAACCACAAGGATCGTTGCAAAAGGTTACACGATTAAGCCATGGATGTAGGTATTGTGTAGCATATTTGATTTAGAGATGAATACTGTGGCAGGGAAGACTGGGTCTGGCAAATATGCGATTGTTTGTATTCGAAGTGGGCTTAGTTGTGGTTCTGAGGGCAGAAGGGCCCCAGGGCACCCTATTTAAAGACGTAGTATGGTCCCACGTGACTAGACCCCCTATTCACTACCACAAATACTTGGAAAAAGCCTTAACAGCATCAGAAACGTCCATCATTGCAGCTCCAAATCTTCTCTTTACAATATAAGCACGGAGGTTTAACGACATCAGGTAGGAACCTACTCAAGGTTAATATCAGACAGTGCTGTGACCATAATCGCCAGTGCTACTTAATAGTAATTAGCTTTATATTAGCTTTTTTTTTAATCAATTATTTTACAGCTGGTTATCCTCTAGCTTTTTAAGCTTATACTTGTTGAGTTCAACTGATCACGCGTGGACTGCACATAGTCAACGCTGAAATCCAAATTTCAAATGGGCTTCCTCTGCAGTGCAGCTTGTTGCAGATGGGTGAAATAGAGAGCCAGTGAAAGTCTCATGCTGCACTTTGCATTACAAGAATCCTCAAATGTACTAATGAGAGTGGTCGGAGTTGCCTGTCTAGGCCAACCTTGGCTGCCACAAGTGAGTAGCACCTGAGCCGTTCGTCAAGTGGCTATGTGAACTTTCAGGCTTATGCACATCCTCACGTAATCCAATGTGCGCACAGAATGACCGAGTCTGAGTAAGGCCTGCTGTCTATGAGGTTGGCAAGTAGCAAGTTGGAAGTTGGCAGACGGTCCGCAAAACCCACAATTATCAACGTGTGTATATACAGTAGTCGAACACCTCGTCGACGTCACTGCAAAGTCCACTTACTGTATGATATCAAATGCACCACTTTTCGCATCTAACAAGTATATCTTGCCTCGCCCCAGTGATGCTGTTTTCCACCAGCCATGGAAGATTTGTACTCCTCCTGTACTGTTCCGCCTTGACTGAGTGTACTCTTACCATCTTCTGAAGAAGCAATACGCACTGCAAACAATCGTCTTGAATAGACATACCCACGCACAAAATGGCCACCGTCGAACAGATTCAGAAGTCCGCGACCGCCGCGGCTCAGAGTCTCATAGCTTCCGATGCAAAGACAACTAGTATGTCATTAGCCATCATCAGGCAGGATTTCCCCCCGTGAACCGAGGTGCTGACCGAGAATTCCAGTGGCTGGAAAACAGCCCCAGGAGATGAAGGAGCATGCATCACAAGTCCTAAACGCTGCGATACCTACAGTTCATGGCTGCGTCGAGGCACTCGCAAAGGACCCGAGGCAGCTAGAGGCGGAAGACGTCGATATTCTAGCCATGAGAGCTGTGAGCCTGGCGGCTTTCGGCACCCCGATTGGAAGTACTTCGTCCAAGAGGAAGTAAAATGGTGCCTTACAGTGACCTATCGATCATCCACAATTGGCGTATATCAGTGAGTGAGGGGGGGGGGGGGTTGTCTGCAAGCGTGTTGAGACGCGAGCAATACAGAAGATTATCCTATAGCAGGTTTTCCCTCGTGAGGTTATTCCATGGGAGGTTACTCTATTGTGCTTTGGGAGGATTACTGTCGGGGCTCATAGTACGACTTTACTCTGACCGAATGTCCAGTTTGACAGAACTTTCAATCTAAAATAATTGTTTATTAATAGTCTGTTTAAAAGGGAGAGGGGAAGAGAGTGGGTCCAGTGGAAACAGGAAGTGGGCGCCTTCCTTCTAAAGACAACAACAATTGAACGCCTTGAGCGAGCAACTGATCAGAGCAGTTGGACTGGAACTTAAGTTGGTACAAGTCACCAAGTAAAAGAAAATGCTTTCAACCAGAAATTATATCTAAGAAGGAGACTCAAATACAATTTTCCCCAGGAAGGACCAGTCTGCGCAGATTGAATACTCCGTCAGAAAGGCCTCTATGTCCAGTTGGACTTTCTTGTTCTGGATTATAGAAACACTTTCAAAATCTGCGAAAGAAATCTGTCATATAGTGAAATTTGCTAGGGCCCGGCTGTGCTTGCAGACACCATATCAGAACCCCGCCTCCTCCTACTATAGTACCGCTAGCTTGTCAGAACAGGACCTGTGGCCCAAGTTACTGAGGAATGAACTCCGACAAGTGTTTGGAGGGCAGGCCGTGGGTGAACACGGGTTGCGTGAGTTCAGAAGACGAGTTCCGGGAAACTTGCTGGTGAGTTCGAGCCAGCCAGGGTGTAAATGCTGTCGGCCGGCCTCGCCGCCTCGTACATCCGCTCGCCCAGTCACCACAGTAAATCGGCATCAACATATGCACAGTTCTGAATGCTCTAGCAAACAGCAGAAGCAAAGATTATTCAACTTTACAGGTAGCCGACATGGCACAGACACCAGGCTCAGCGATGAGTAGCCTGAAGTCGGGTCCGTCGTCCGACAAGGAAAGAGACACCTCCGCATGGTTGCATCCCCAAAACCGTGGTAACGCCTTTTGATGATGATCCATAGAACTCCCCAGTATCCTTGACCCAGTGACCCCTAGTATCCCATGACCTTGCACGCCTCGCAGCGCGGTTACCCTCAGCCCGCAGATATACCTCCCATTCTCCGTCTGTCTAGACCAAGGTGGAATATCCGTCCCTCCTGCGTGAGGGGACAGTCAGTAGCAAGATTTGGACCTCCTGGGGGGCCCAAGCCTTGAACACAGGAGTCTCTATGTGAGTCTACGCTTCCGGTCGCTCTGGCCCATTTCAAAGTAGCCGGGGTTCTCTGGATGCGGAGATCCTAGTGTCGAACCCCGTGTCCCATCGGACCCTTTTCAGCACAACCCTTAATGCCGGGAAATGCGATGCCCGGCGTGCCTTACTCACGATCCTCGGTCGCTTTGCGGCTCACGCTCGCAATGAAATTCTGATACTGCTCGTCCTCATTGACAGACCTCTTCCCACCTTGTTTGAGCGCGTGAGGCTTCGCCGACAGCTGTTTAATTGTCTTGTCCTTCTTCCAGGTGAGGCCCTTCCTCCACAAATCCGAGTCTTCAACGTCGGGCGTCGCATGATTCGACTCCTCGGTCTTGTTTTCCTTCTCAGACCCGTGCCCGTCCTCCTTAGCCTCCCTCTCGGGCTTCGGAAGGCGCATTGCCAGCAGCACATACTCTGCGCGCGTCATGTTGTCCATCACATCCTCCATGTAGCGCTTGACCTCGTCTGCCGGGGCTACAACCTTTGAGAAATGATCCAAGGTTCTTGGTTGGGCTGACGATATCCTGATGGTCACAGGTTGGTAATAGTCGAGCTTCGGGTCGCCACCATATTCAGAAACACTCCCTTTCCTGACAATGAGAAAGGACGCGATGAGCTGCGGACCACTCGGCATCTGGACGTGCTCCACGATACTGAACCTGGGGAAGAGATATCGATCACCATTCCCGCCAGCGAATTCGAAAACAACAGCCGAGACATCAGGCTTCACCACCGGAGGAGGACCTTTAGAGCGAAGCGCTTGCTGCGGAGCCGCGGCCGGCGGCGCCTGCTGCACACTCGACGGATGAACGCTAGGTGTGCCGTGGGGCCTCGCAGGTGCAACTGCTGACTGAGGCTTCTGTTGCCCTAGCTGGTCCTTCAGACGATCTAGGGTCTCCTTCAAATCAGTGGCATCGGAGAATTCGGGGGTGTTCTTTGCTATGCGCCGGACTCGCTCCAGAGTCTTGGAGTCGTCCAGTGCATTCTTCACCAGCGCGACGACCAAGGGATCACTGCCCGAAGGTGGCGCGAGGTCAGCAGATGTCTGTTTCGGATTTGACCTGAGCACTATCGCAATGATGGCATCAACTTCATCAGCAAAGTAGCGCACGCTCCTGCCATCGACGAGAAGCCGGTCTGCTGACGGCCCCTTCAAGGCTCCCTTGCGCTTGCTCTCCGCAGTGATTTGGTCGATTATTGCCTGAAAGCGGGCGAGCTCGTCCTTAGGGGCGTTGCCGTTGGCCACGCGCTTCATCAGATCCCGTAATTGAGGGTCCTCGTTTGCTTTCTCAGCCAGGGTAACGATGATAGGATCCGCCCCTACAGGAGGGCCGGGAGGTCGACTTTGAGGGTTTTGAGGAGGCAGGTGGCGCGAGTTGCCTTGTGGTGGAGTAGATACACCAGCCACTGGCGCAGAGGCGGGGACAGGGGTATGGTATGGCGGAAATGAGTTGTTGCCAGTGTGTGCCGCCGAGCTTGATGGCGCTGGTGATGATGACGAAGCCGGCTGTGGCATCTGCGGAGCCAGCGGCGCAAGGGGATTCGAAGTCGTCGCAGCCGGCGCCAGAGGTGCCTCGCTTGGCGGGGGAATAGTCCCTGTGGCCCGAGGGGACGAGCTCTGCGTCGCCGGTGCTGAGATATGACCGCCTTGGGAAGACGAGGATGGCTGTTGTGTAGCTGGTACTGGTGCCTGCGGCTGCGCCAGATTGCTGGCCTGAGGGGCCAGTGAGGGGACGGCGGAGGATATGGAAGCGGAAGCGACAGGGGCTACAGCACCCTGTGCCCGGTCCGGGACAGGCGCAGGCGTCGCTGAGGGCGTCGGAGGTTTGGACACAGGCGTCGGAGGTGGAGGCATGGCTCCATTGGGAGGGCCGTACTGCAGGATGGGCCGAAAGACGGGCTGAGGTGCGGGCTTATTGGGGTCCTTGACAGCATAGACAGTCGCCTCGAAATAGTGTGGTTCGAGAGAGATAGTGACCTGCCCGACCTTGGCCATGGTGTCCTTGGGGGGGTTTTTGGCGTCTTCCTGCACGACGCCTTTCTTCTTTGTTGGTTTTGTCCAGTATTTCTCGAAGAGACCGTCGCCAATCCATCTCTGGCGCGAACGGGAGAGTGACTCGGCCAAGACGCCACTGTGAGAGGCAAAGTCAGGCTTCATTAGTTGAGGCGGGGAGGGGAGCAGGGGGAGAGGGCAGCAGCAGCACGGTACCTCTCTTGTATGGACTGATAGTCCCTCTGGGGCGGAGTTTCAGATTGCGCAGCGCCCTCGATGGTAGGCAGAGGCTTTCCCGGGTGGATGGAGGTGGGCAACGGGGGAGGCGGGGGCTTCTGAGGCTCGTCGACAGAGTCGGGCGCAGGAGTGGTGTTGAGAGCGGCCGTGGGGGTAGCGGAGAGGACGTCGGGAGGCGTCGAGGTTCTGCTCTTCTTGGCGGCCTGCTCGACGCGCGCAGCAGCACGCGCCGGCACCCTTCTCTTTCTTTCCATCGTAACGAGGGAGAGGAAGAGGGCGAGTGCGAGGGCGAGGGCGAGGCGTCGAAGGCGAAGAGAGAAGGTGTGTGAGAGCGCGTAACCCCGGCCAGACTGGACTGGAAGCTGTGGTCAGTCGAGGTTTCAGCACTATGTCAAGTGCATTGGCGCATCGCCAGCATCGACCGACGCGGTCATGGACTGGGCTCGAACAGGCAGAGGCTGTGGGCACGAGAAGCAGGCGATGGAGTGGAGGGCACCAGGTGCTGTGTGCCGTGTGCCGTGTGCCGTCCAATGTGTTTGGAACAAAGTAAGACGCAACGGCAGACGGGAGTCGGGAGCCAAGAGTCGAGGAGGGAGTCTAAAGCGAGTCTGGGTCGCAGCCCAGGTACAGTAGGCAGCCCGGTAGTCTACCTAGGTACCTGCCCAGCCCTGCCCAACAGTGTTGACCTGGTCCAGACCCCTGGCTGCTAGACCTGCAGCACCTGGGTACCTGGGTACTTGACTGCGTACTGTGCAGACCCACTCACTGACTGCCAAACAGCCGTCTGTCTACTCACGCTCGCGATGGCTTTACACGCTTGTTGCCTTACACACCTTCGATGAGCCCAACGTTATTTGTTTCGCCCTCTTCGATGTGACCGTCCCTTCCCGCCCCAGCCATGCCTTCTATACGGTCCTCGGATTCCGCAAAGGCCTATTGGGCCTTCGCTGCCCTTGGCCCTTTCGCTATCTATGGTGTTGTGCTGGCCTTACTTGGCGTTCCATTCATCCAGAAACAGCAAGTATATGTATTTTCAGTGGCACGGGGGGTCGGAAATGGCCCTGCTTGCTGATTCTGATTCTGATGCTGACGCTGACGCTAACCCAGAGCTTTGTACGCCCATCGATTCCACACCCTCTGGTGGAACGATGTTGAGAAACCGGAAAGATGGGGCTTTGCAAGTGAGTTGCGGTGGACCCAGCGTCCCCGTACCTGTCTTTCCCCCATACGCTCTACTACACCGGCTGTGTGGCCTCTCTAACATTGGAGCTCAGAAAATCAAGTCACCCCGTTCACACTTGAAGCTCCTGACGGCCCGGCTCTATACTGCTGGCATATCCTACCGCTGTCCGTGTACACGCCAAACGAAGCTGTCCTCAGCCGGGCCTCACCGGTTCCATTAGAGAAGCATGTATCGTCAGAAGCCTTTAGACTGCTTAGAGATGATCCAGACGCCCGCCTCATCCTATCCTGTAAGTCCACCAGTAACCCTCCGAGACCAACCTCCTTACTCAACGACCTGCTCCAGTCCACGGCAATGCAGGCCACATCGCCCAGAACACCCGCGCACCACAGTATCGCATGCTCACTGACAGCGCCTACAAATGGCATGTCATCGCGCTCGACTACCGTGGATTTGGCCACAGTACTGGCTCACCCTCCGAGGAGGGCCTCATCACTGACGCCTCCACACTCGTCGACTACGCCATCACTACCCTCAGGATACCACCAAGCCGTATACTGATTCTAGGTCAGAGTCTGGGCACCGCGGTATCCTCAGCAGTTGCCGAGAAGTTCTCGCGGGAAAAGGGCATCGACTTCGCTGGCGTGGTGCTTGTCGCGGCTTTCAGCAGCCTGCCAACCATGTTAGCAAGCTACTCCCTTGGAGGAGTAGTTCCCCTCCTCAAGCCTCTGAACATATGTCCGCCCTTGCTCCGCTTCTTTCTTCGCTTCGTGGTAGATAAGTGGAAGTCTCTGGACCGCCTCGCCGCTCTGACTGCGCAGACCCGTGAACGAAACGGCAGGTTGAGAATAAGCCTCATTCATGGGGCTGACGATTGGGATATACCCTGCGTGGAAAGCGTCAAGATTTTTGAAGCAACAGCACGGGCGTCAGTCGAGAATGGAATGGACGAGCCTGTGTTCCTAGAAACGAAGGACGCGAGAACGGAGGTGAGAGGGGAGAAGGCTTTCAAGATCATCTGGCGCGAAAACAACATCACAAGTAAGTAATTTCTGCTGCTGATTTTCTCCCCTTGAATAGCCTAGGTGGCCTTTGCTGTCATTCGTTCCTGCGTGTCAGACGCCAGAACCTAGACGCCAAAGACCATCGACAACAGAATCAGATATCTCCTTCTCCGTACATACCGTGTTGACACACTCGCAGTCACGCACGAACAATTCGCATTTGGGGGTAAGTCATCCTCTGCTGAAGTCTAAGCTCTAATGCTCCCAGCAGGTGCCGTACGTCGCTGACCGGTCTTAGGGCACAACGATATCATGGTCTACGCGCCTGTACCCCAGGCTGTAATGACCATACTTGAGACTGGGACGGTGGCCGGCTCATCGGCTGTGTAGGGAGCGGTCACGCCACGGCGTTCACCGATTCTGCTCAGCTCTAGGCTCAGAGGGCGTCACTGTTCCTCAGTCGGGTCGTGCAGCAGACTCCCAAACTCCACACTGCGGGCTCAACGCCCAAAATGATGATCTTGATTGTTTGAAATGACTACAGATCAGACATGGTGGGTCTAGTGCCGGCTCAACCCAGAGATGAGTGTCAACTGTGAGGTACAGCGAGCGATTAGAGCTAGACAGGTACACACAATCCATGATGCTACATGTAAACACTGCTTGCATTTCGTTATTTCTTGTCTTTTCCCACACCCGTACCCTCGCGTACATTTCAACGTATAGAATGAAGGCCATGGAGTTCACATCCAGCTTACTCAGTCAAAGAAGTATCGCTTCATTCGCGAGTTGCTTCACCCTTATGTGATTTTGCTGCCGTTCGGCATCTCGTGCACGTGTCTTCAGTACCCCCCTATCATGTAGCACCTGTAATCTCGTGTCGCTGGGTCAAACACCACGCATTGACGACGCCAGTGCCGGCAAGTAGGCTCAGTGCGGCTGCGCCTCAGACGTAAGTATCCAGTGCTTAGGTTCACACAACTGAGCTGCATCCCAAAGTAATGCAAAAGAGACAACGCCCACTCAGAGCTTCGGGCGAGACGTGATCGCCGAGACAGGTCAAGGCTTCTACAGCAGCTGACTCCTTGAATTTGGTCAGAGGGGGAAAAATCGCACCTGGGCAAATCTCACTGGACACTGACACGCTAATACCGGTATAATCTGAATACTCCTTGAGTGGTGTGTACAAATACATGTGAGCCATGGAACAATAGCGCAGCGTGTGGAAATGTTGTCGTGCCCCTGTTAGTATAGGCGTGTTGACGCTGGACAAGTCTTGTAGTCCTTCAGCTTGAATTTTTACTTGAATCTGACATGTTTCTAAGTATTTCTGACCGCCGTCCACTATCACATTGTGGTGCTTGGTTCACCTCAGGCAGTGTTCCCCTTTTTGAAGAAGCTGGACGGGCGACAAGATCGTCGTCTTTGAAGTCAGCCGGATGCTCACTCGGTCTTCTTACCAAGGAAGTAGAGGGATCTCTTCGGCACCAACTTGCGAGGCTTGGTCGGCGTTGCAGGGAGCTCGTCCGCGCTGCTCGTAATCATAGTGCCTGGAAGACCTAGCACTGCAGCTGCCTTCACTGGGGTGCCTTTCCGCATCGCTTGCATCGTTGGGCTGATTCTACAGGAGCTGGGTGTGGGAATGCGTGAGGGACGCGGCACGAATGCTACAGACTGGCGATGAGCTGGCGTGGCGAAACGCTCGGTGACAGGCGCAGAGGCACGAGAGGGAGTTGGCAGATTGGACGACTGCTTATGCGATTCAGCCCTGGGCTCGGAATCCGGCAGCGGGGGATAGCGGTGCACCCCGTGGTCGATGCCATAGTCAAGATAAATAGCATGGCCCGGAGCGATGTCCAAGTGCCGAGACGGAGTTTGGCGGTCAATGTGATGGTGCTTGACTGCATCCGGAACAGCGTCGCGCTCTGCCTCCGGCCATAAGCTCAGATGAGTTGCATATACCCACTGCTCACTAAAGCCCACCATACGCACGGACTCAACTCTGCCAGTGAGTGTACGCAGCGGACTTGCAACCGAGAGGTGGTCTTCAGTGACGTAGGGAACACGATGCGGCAGATCGGCGTGGTGACGAAGGTGTCCGGAATATGGTCTCGCAGCCGAGGGAGGCAAGCTTGGGGCTCGGTGGTCGTAGTTTCGCGCCTGACCAGGAAGGACCGAGCGAGCCTTATCCTCCTCTCCAATAAGCGGATACTTTTCGGCGTCCTCATGACGCCCCTGGCGATATCCAAAATATCGGCGGCAATGAACAGTCAAGCAGCTCAGGGTGTTGGCCGGGCCGCGGGTGAATATCTCTGCTGTGAATTTGCGTACGAGTTCATGGATATTATCAATTTTGGGGTCCACACCAGCTGCGCCCCAGCTGCTGCCAAATCCCAGTTTCGTCATGTCAAGCTCGAGGCTTACATCCTGCATCAGATGCAGATAACGGAAGAACCACGTGGTTGGTAGAGGCTGCGAGCGTTCCTTGACAAAAGGGCTGAAAATGACATGAAACTTGCGAGTCAATAACAGCACGACCATAGCGTCGGCTCGGAGACGCGGACAGGCCCACATGATGGCCTCTAGAGGTTTGAGTACGGAGCCCAGGCTATCAAAGGCGTCGTCTGGCCAAGCGGGGCATGCCTGACGTTTGGTGTTCAGCAGAATCGGCTTGCCGGTGTAAGTGTCAGCAAAAAGGTGCCGCATTACCTCGAATCGAAGCTTGTCTGGCAGTGCAAAGTACGAAAACCTCTTGTTTCCATTGTACTTCTTGGAAGGCCGCCCTTTGGCATACTTCGCAACAAACACGCTTAATGCGTGCTCGAACCTGTCCGATGGTCTGGGTATGGGGCAAATGATGGTTCCTCTTTCTTGCCTTGCTCTCCTGTACCATGTGAGGTCGACGGTTCGATCGAAAGCTGGAGAGGGGTCAATATCTTGGATTGTATCTGCAATTATGGTCGACTCGGACTCCTGCTTCACAAGCCTTGCTCTGCCCGCAGCCCCTGGCGCAGGCAATGCTGATCCGAGAAAATCCAGTGGTGTACCGGTGTCAATCTCAGCCAGGCGCCTGCGGCTGACTGACTGCGCAGGAACGTCAAGGGGCTGAATCAGGTCGCCAGAGCCGGGAACGGCGACAGACCGTTCATTGATTAGTCCCAGTCTTTCTTGGATCTTGCGATCGCCGCGAACAGCCGGGTGGTCGATTAGAGGAGGAGGTTCAATGTAAAGCGACGCGGATGGCGGAGTCAGGGGAGCTTGCATAGATTCATAAGCACCGTGTAAAGGTAAGAAATGGCCTGATTCATCAGAGAGAGAGCCACGATCGGGCTTCTGGTACGAGCTGCGGCCCAAATTTTGAGAGCTGCGACCAGGCTTGAGTGAGGTCCGAGCAGCGTTGTAAACCTCATCGAAAATGTCGGATAAGGAGATACGCTCGGATTCTTGTGAGGTCGTGAGCGAGAGTGGCTGGTAGCTTGTGGGAGTACCTGCATCTGCTGATCGTGCCGGCTGGTCGCTTGAAAAGAATTGAGATATCTTCTTGCGCAGGCCTTTGCCTATCTTCTTCTCACTGACACGACGCTCCGCCACCTCCTCCATACTCATATTCGTGTCTTCATTCACGACCACCTGCTCGCTGCCATCTGCCTGCCCTCCAATGTTGACAAACAACTTCTTAATGGGTTCGCGTCGCTTCACTGGCGAAGGAAATGGAAGTTGTGGGAGGGGTCGGGTCGGAGGGGGGGCTTGTGGCAGAAGAGGACCGATGAAAGGCTGGAGTTTGTCCGGATCTATCTCCTTGGAGGAAATAGTGCTAAGTGGGCCTGAGGGGATGCTTCGCAAGGTTCCTTCTCGAAGGAGAGGCGCAGTCGTGAGTGAAGAGGATAGGCTGATGGTCGAAGAGGTCAGGGTGGCAGGAACCTCTGTCGTTTCAGGCAGATCAGGCTTGCTGTATTTACTCAGCGCTTCAAAACTGTCAGCTGGTCCAGGAAGGGCTTCACACCGATTCTCTAGCAGAGTAGCGATAGGTTCCCTGCAAGAGAGCCTTGTCAATGGTTGAGTGACAGTCTAGAGTATGCTGGGGTGGCACTCACATTGCCTTCGAGGAAGGCTTGTGGGACAGAGACTGAGAGACTTGGTGGCGAAGTTTCGAGACCGGAGATTGCTGGGTCGAGTTGAACTTGAAGGCGGGTCTATGGTCACTCAAGTCACCCAAAGCAAGTTCTATCTTGTTTGACTCGCTGATCTTTGTGTGAACAGCTGTGCTTGCGGGAGTGGTGAGCTTCGAGGAAGAAGTCGCTCTGGCGCCGGAAGACCCATGAAGGAAATTGTGGTAGTCGAGGGAGCCTAGAAATGCTGGACCAGGCTCCTCCTCAGCATCAGACTCGGTGACATCCTGCTGCCAAGTGTCATTCTTTGGGTGCTGGTACTCCAAGCTGCTTTGGTGATTCCTATTCACACCTTGTGCAAATTAAAATAGGTCAGTTGACACGTTGTACGCTTTCCTCAAGTAGAAGGAAGTAGTAGATGTTCTCCGAGAGAGGGGTGAAGCTTCATGTGCGACTGCAAGATCCTTGCGTCTGAAAGAAAAGAAAACTCACCACCTGCATCATTCGAGGGGCCTGAGAGGTCATCCATGATCAAGAACCTGCAAGAGAGCGACTGCATCAGTGCTTTCAAGTCTGTAGAGTGGAATCTAGGGGATGCCGTTGGTTGTTGGTAGCTGTCGCTTGGTAGTTGTAGCTGCTGGTGGGCATGCGAGCCATGCAAAGTCCAAGACCACTGGGCTGGTGACTTTCTTGCAGAAGGCTGTTTGTATGTGTGATGTGTAGGTGAAGTCGGCACACCGAGCAAATCACTTGTTCTCACACCACTGCTACCATCACCACCAGTCTGCAACAGCTTGCTATAACGAGATTCGCATAGCTGGGACCGTGACCTCCCATGCCTGCCCCTCGTGCTGCTGAAGCCCCCGATGAGCTCCTTCAATTCCTTCTCAGGGAGTGTACCGGCTCCCAGCGTCGAGTATAGATGGCCGTGGGAACGGCACCTCTTGTGGCGCTTCTTGCCGTCCCCTCTACTCTGATCCTCAACTCCAGGAGGCACCCCGAAGGCCGAGAAGCGCTGCTTGGGCTCTGATGTGCCCAGCTTGCCGTCACCCCGGCCCCTTCCCGACTCCATTCCCTCCACCCCATCTCCTCGAAGATGCCTGTCGCCCACAACCAGATGATGTCCATGAAGGTTGCGCTGTCTTCGGGGTGCCTCATACTCGTCATATGCCGGGGGTAGGTCTGGGTGATGCCCAAGGGCCCTTGACCACTCCGGCGCGGTCTTGAAATTGCCAACCCCCAGGCTCTCGCCCTTACCCTTGGTATCTCTTCCCCCTCGGGGCCCATCTTGAAGGATCTGATGTCCATTGGAATGCCATCTCCTGTGACCTTTTTGCAGCCTTGCCCTCGTTTCTTTTTCCCTGGTTTCCTTCACAAACGGGGTCATAAATTGCAAGGAGTGCCTCTTAGGGGCTGAGCCTCTTGCGCCCTGCAGCCGCCTAACATTGGGATGAGGGAGTAACCAGCTTTCAATCTCATACTGGTTTGGTGGAGTTGAGAAGGCGTGCATTGCTTCGTCTTTCTTGGAGATATCAGAGACTGGGAAAGACGCTCCTGGTTCACAAGGCGCCCATCCTCCCAGGCATTCTCAATGAATCCAGAATTTACATATGAACAGAAGGCGGGGCCTTCAAGATCCTGAGATATGAAACTTAGTCTTAAGCTTGAGGTGGTGCGAAGCCTGCTAGTACAACAATGGAATGAAAGAACTATTATTCTTGACTCGTGGAGCCAAGTCAGGCTGCAAGAGCCTGAGCATCCATGGTCTGGGTCATGGTTTCCGTGCAGGAGGAGAAGAAGTCGTGGCAGCAGAGATGGTATAGCCGTTGATATTGAGACAGAGTCACCTGAGGATTCATATCTTCCTTGGGACTGTCGTCATGGCAAGAACAGGCACCTAGGTAGGGAAGCGGGCAGGGGCTTCCCAATGTAGCCGAGGGCCTTGTCTTCCCATCCTGGCTGACAGTCATCCCACTCGGGAATTGCTTGGGAGATGACACCGCTCTTTTTCTTGCATAAACCAGATGACACTGATGTGTGGATGTTCAGTTATGAGAAGAAGGGATGACCTTGGCTGCCCACGGTGGTTGTCAATGGGCTAGAGAGCTCTGATAAACGATAAGAGATGGAGTGGTGCAGGTAGACTAGGATCGCAAAGATGTGAGGGATGACTTCCTGCAGGATAACATTGAACCCTCTTACAGGGTGGTTCTTGTGGGATGAACTTTTACCGTTCGCACGATAACCTGCTCTATATAAATGCCCTTGCTTCCCACAGCAAAGCCAGCCTGTTATACAACAACCTTCTCAGGATAGTTTCCTCCCCCGGGTATGTGTTGTTCCCTCTGATCTTTTCTGCGTACTATGGTAGGTACAGTCTGTGTTACCTTAGTGTGATTGGGCACTAGGGTATCCTGCCAAGACTGTGCAGTAACCCGGGACATAGTTCCACCTTATATCCCTGTCGATGACATGCTGCCCTTGGTGCCCCGCCATCAAAGCTTCAAATGTTCTACGCAGCCAACGAAAACCGGGGAGCGTAGGTAATTAACTACACAATCTTGAGCCTCATCCACATCCTCAGCCTCATCCACCAACTCGAAGCCGAACTCTGCCCACATCCTGTGACATCCCAACCAATCCATCACAAAATGGCGGACGACCTGATCCAGAACTCCATGGCTGGCTCACAGCCTGTGCCGGCCAACTTCGACGCCAGTGACGCAGACAATCTCGAAGACGTGAGTCCTTGATCATGACCAGGTGTTGTAATCTGGTGAGATATCTATTGTTTGCCTAACTGACCCGTGCTCACTAGATTGAAAAGCAATTTGCAGTCAAGGGTACGAAGAACTTCTGCCAAATGCTGGCCAGCTCCCATAATTTTTCAGCCAGACAAAATCTGACATGCTTCTCCACAGCCGTCCAACATTTAGAGACGTACTGGGCCATTCTTGAAAAGGTCAAAGGCAGCACCCTGCGACTGACCAAGATTGACGATGAAATCTACGAGCATCTCTGCAAGGACTTCCCTGAATTCGACCCGGCCGAGACGATAGACGAGAGCAAGCTCAAGAGCCCTACGGGAAAGAAGCGATGGCGTGACTTCATGATGGCATACGAGAAGAAAGTCGATGACTACAGCTTTGGAACAATGCTGCGGACAAGCCCGAAGGAGGAGTACACACAACACGGGACTATCTTTGGTAAGTCAATTGGGCAAAGCTCCTGCTTGATCCGGCTGGCGATGCTCTCATCTTTGTCCGCCCCTGGTGCTCCGCCACAGCCAGCCAAGACCACGGGGCCAAAAAGATGCCATGCACATAATGGCATGAGCGTGTGGGAAACACTGATATCACCCAGGATCCGGTGGCCAGATGAGCAAACGCTAACAAATCGCGCAGTACCGCGTATGCAGTTTTACGCTGTAGAGATTGCGAGAAACCGGAAGGGACTGAACGATTGGATCTATGAAAAGACCCAGGCGGAGAAGGCGGAGACGAAGTAGAGGTCAACATTGGCATCGTAGCGATCAGCTCTCGTCTATCATCTTCGGCTTACACGGATGTGGCTGATGCACAAGAAGCCTTTTCAATTCAGATACCCAGCACAGGTTGAAACCTCAATCGCAAGCATACTTAACAATATAACAGACGGCGATATGTGATTTCATTGATCGGGCGAGTCGTACGGCCCAAGATGAGTACCGAATAATTGGCACTCATCAACCGTACGAAATTCACAGCGCCCAGTCTCGCGACCAGCTTGCACTAGGCGCAAACTGCCAATGCAGGCTCCAGCGACCACTTTTTCATGGTTTTCGGGGGAACTTCTAGTACGATAGGGGGAGTCTGCTAAAATGTATATTGCAGTAACGGCTGCTGGATAGGTGGTGCCGCATCCGTTCGATTGTTGCTACCCTTTAGTATTGTTCTTGCGAGTACAATCTCAACCACGACCGCACAAAGACTCGCAGCAGCATCACCAGCTCCTATTATCTGCCATCAGCTGCCCATTATGCAAATTTTCGAGAGAGGAAAAAGCACTGTCGCCATACATTGTCTGTGGCCAGGGCGGTCAATATTGATCGTGTCGTGCTGGTTTAAGGAGCTTTCGAAGTTGCTGCGAATATAGGTCCCTACGTCGCCTTCTCGCGTCATGCAGCGACCCGCAAAATGTCAATCATTTTCGAATATTGGAATCACCTACACATTAACAAGGCAGATATTCTCGGGGATCACGCACACACATAATACGGATCACCATGGGCTCGCGAGAAGAAATCCGACTTCGACGCTTAGGGGTGGAAGCAACAGTCCCCCATGCATCACCTGGAGCCTTACCAAATAGTGGCCGTGGCAGATACCCGGACCGTTGTCAAGATCGTGCTGCTGCTGCGACGTGGAAGCACCTCTTTGTCTTCACAAAGAGCCGCCAAGCTGGCTTCCTCAGCCTCGCCATCGTTGCGTCCCTGCTTGTTGCTGCGGTCAAGACGGTTTTCGCTATCCTTCTTGGTAGAATCATGGACATTGTCAGCCCTCTTGGCGCTGGTAGAATCAACGGCAGCACAGCCATGGGCGGAGTGACGATCTGGTGTGTTGTGCTGACGGGGATTGGTGTGGCATCTTGGGCTTTCAACTCGGCCCTCATGGCTCTGTGGATTATTTTTGGCGAGCTGGTCGCCAAGACTGCAAGACACGACGTGTTTGAGCATTTGTTGGACAAGGAGATGGCTTGGTTCGATGCCCACGACGAGGGGCTGAGCAGTGCTCTTTCAGGCATGCAGATGTAAGCTGTGCTCTGGGACCTGTCCGTCCAGTGACTAACGAATCGCAGTCAGATACGAGAGCTCCAGATGGCTACCTCACAGGTTTTGGGCTTTCTCATCACCGACGTTTTTGTTGCTGTTGGCTGCCTCATCGTCGCGTTCTACAATAGCTGGCAGCTGACACTTGTCCTGATGGCCACAATCCCAGTGTCCATCGTTGTCCTGCACCTCATCAGCCGCGGCCTCGAGGCAGCCATCGAATTGCAAAAGCGAGAGCTTGCTAAAGCATCCAAGGTCGTCATTGCTGCTGTCACAGCTATTGATCTGGTCAAGATCTACAATGGGTTTGACCATGAAGTTTGGCAATACTTGCAGACGGCCCGGGGCTCCATGCGGTACTACCTTCAACAGGCTCTCCGGAACGCTATGCAGATGGGTTTCTTGAAGTTGTGGATGGTCAATCTCTTTGTCGTCGGGTTCTGGTTTGCGGGATACCTGGTGAGCAAAGGCTCCACAACACCCGGCACAGCCCTCACGACCTTCTACTCCATTTTGACGGCGTTCCAGTCTATTGAGAGTGTAGGGCCGCAGTGGCTTGTTTTGGCCAGGGGAATGTTGGCTGGGCAGCAACTTCAGAAGATAGTGCTGGCTAAGACAGAAAGCACAAATATGTGTGGGACGAAGAGCAGTCACCGGCCACAAAGTTGTGCCGGCGAAATCGAGCTCTTGGATGTGAGCTTTGCGTATCCTTCCAACCCCGAGAAAATCGTCCTCTGTCGCTCTTCATTCTTCTTTCAATCAGGTCGCCTCACTTTCTTGGTCGGAAAGAGCGGATCCGGCAAGAGCACGATCACCAACCTGCTTCTCAAGTTTTACGAGCCACTCACTGGAAGCATCCTCATCGACGGGCAGCCCATTCAAACCCTGGATGACAAATGGCTCCGAGAAAACGTTACCTTGATCCAGCAGTCGAGCACCTTGTTTAATGACACGTTCTTCATGAACATCGCCTTTGGATCCCGCAATCCCTGCAGGGCCACCAGGGAAGAGGTCAGGTCTGCATGTGAGACAGTGCTGCTCCAATCAACAGTCATGAGTATGCCTGACGGACTAGATACCGACGTCGGAGTTGGAGGCCACAACCTCAGCGGAGGGCAGAAACAGCGACTCGCCCTTGCGCGAGCCCGGTTGAGAGATCCGCCTGTGTTGATCCTCGATGAAGTCACCAGTGGCCTTGACCCCACCAGCAGAGTTCTCATTCTTGAGGCGATCAGATCATGGCGAGCCGGAAAGACAACAATCATCATCACCCACGATGTGACTCAGATACTCGACGAAGATTACGTTTACGTCCTGGACCAAAGTCTTCTAGTGCAAGAGGGCTTTCGAAGGGACCTTATCAAAAACAAAGACGGCATCTTCGCTTCAATACTGCTGCCGACTGAAGAAGAGGCGTGTTGGAACTCGTCGGCAACGCTGGACGCGGCTAGCATTACTACTGACGCTCCCTCATCATCAGAGTCACTCGGCAAGTCGCCACCCGTAGAACCGTCCCGTCTCTCTAAGGTTTTCCTTCATCCCCAGGCCCCAAGCTCAAGCGCAAATCGTGGGCTATTTAGACTGTCACTAGGGGCCAACGTGGAGCGGTCTATATCCATGCGAGCCAGAGAATTTTGGGATGCTCCCGTCAAACACGCAGAGTCGTGGCATGGCAGAGCATCGTATCCCTACGCTAGTCCCGAATCGCCCAGCCGTTTTTTCGCCCTCAACGAGCCCAGAAGACAGAATGAGGACAGAAGGCACAACCCGCGCAGGATGAGGAAGTCGAGCCTCGATATGGTGCAAGAGACCGGGGAGATGACTAGGTCTCGTCGGCCCCTTGTCAAGTCACCACGAATTGCTCGGATTGATGGATGGCAGTCGAGCGAGGGACCAAGATTACCAGCGGGTGGCATGATGAATCTTCGCGAGGAAACAGAGAGAGCGCGCAGCTATCATGGACAGCACACAGAAAAGCCTGTCGCTGTTGGTGTAAGCCGGCATCTCTCTCTCCTCAAGATCCTCGCAACAGTCTGGCCTATGCTCGATAAACCAAATCGAATTCGCATGGTACTCGGCATTGCTTGCTGCGTTATCGCCGCAATCTGCAATCCAGCCTTCTCCTTTGTCTTCGCGCAGTTGATTGCCGCATTCTGGGCACCGCGCTCTGAGATGAGAGCCGCCGGGCAGACATGGGCCGTCCGTCTCACTATCATCGGCGCTGTAGACGGCTGTGCAACCTTTTCTGCATTTTACCTGATGCAGCACGTAGGCCAGGCATGGGTCACGTCCCTGCGTGTCGAGGCACTGAAGAGAATCCTGTCCCAGCCAAAGTCCTGGTTCGAGAAACCAAGCCACTCGCCCAATCGAATTGTCGAGGTGCTTGACCGAAACGCCGAGGAGATGCGAAACCTTGTGGGACGTTTTGTCCCGATCATACTGATTGTTGTGACAATGATGACGGGCGGCCTGATTTGGGCTCTTGTCATCTCGTGGAAGCTAACCTTGGTAACGCTTGCTTCCGCTCCAGCTGTGTATGCTGCCACGCAAGCCATTGCTTCCGTCTCCGGAAAATGGGAGGCAAGATGTAACGCGATGGCGGAGACCACGGGTTCAGTGTCTGTTGAGACCTTTCTGAATATCCGAGTGGTCAGGGCACTAACACTGGAACCCCATTTCAACTCCAAACACACGCAGTCAAGCGAGAGCACATTTCGAGTCGGGATGAAGAGGGGCTTGTGGACGGGGCTATTTTACGGCTTCAACCAGGGGATGCCTGACTGGCTTACCGCCCTCGTGTTCTGGTACGCGACTGTGCTGCTCACCTCGCCAGCAGCGACCATCTCTGCCTCGAATATCATGCAGGTCATCAATCTGCTTTTGTTCAGCATAGGCACTGCCACATCGATGCTGGATAGTATTCCGCAAGTTGCCCAGGCCAAGGCGACGTCCATCCAGGTTCTTTACTACGCCACCCTGAGCTACAGCAATAGCCATGAGGAACGAGGCGAGAAAAGGGTGCTAACACCTTTACCAGTCGAGATGAGAGCCTTGCAGTTCGCATATCCCGCAGCCAGAGGCAGCCTAGATGGCCCGATCAAAGTCCTTCGACATGTCAACCTCCGGATTGACCGCGGGGATTGTGTTGGCATTGTGGGTGCTTCAGGGTGCGGCAAGAGCACAGTCGCAAATCTTCTTTTGAGGCTGTACGAGCCGACAGTTGATCGGCAGCTGAGAGAACATGTACGGGACCAAGCCTTTCACCACCCTCACTCGAGGCAACAAGAGCACCAGCCTCCAGCTCTTTCCTATGCACACGTGCCCGCATCAGACGTGTCGACGTCTGTCCTCCGGACGCACACAGCCTACGTTCCTCAACATCCCTTCCTCTTTCCAACCACAATTCGTGAGAATATTGCCTATGGCCTGCACGCAGACTCCCCCTTCCGCGATTTAAACTCGGTTGTTGCGGCCGCGAAACTGGCGTGCATACACGACTTCATCGTCTCATTACCCGAGGGTTACGCCACGCCTGTGGGCGAGGGCGGACTTGGGCTCTCGGGTGGCCAAGCACAGCGTGTGAGCATCGCGAGAGCACTCGTCCGCAAGCCGAAGCTGCTGGTCATGGACGAGCCGACCAGTGCTTTGGACGCAGGAGGTGCCGAGGGTGTGAGGAAGGCTATCCAGAACTTAATGGAGCAGAGCAGGCAGGCTGGAGAGGGAGAAGAGCTGACTATCGTGACGATAACGCATGTAAAGGAGATGATGCGAATCATGGACCGAATCGTGGTCATGGATGAAGGATTTGTGGTTGAGGAGGGTGGATTTGAGGAGTTGTTGGTCAAGGGGGGGAAGTTTGCGCGGTTACTGGGCGGTGGAGCCTGGATACCCCTTGACAATGAGGCTGCGAATGCGAAGGGCGAAAAAGCAAGAAGACTACCTCCCGACCTCATCACCGCCGTGCAGTCTCCTGGCAGTCGGGATAACGGGAACGAGTTGAACCCGAAAGACGGGTGCATCCACTCCCCTGGAATGTGGAATAAGTCGGCTGGTCAGGAGCAACTAACGAAGGCCGATGGGTACGGACGCTTGAACTCCGTGACGCCTGTGTCATCGTCTGCTCTGGACAGCTCGCCTGCCAGTGAGAGGACAGCCGCCGCTCGTGAGAAGGCTTTGCGGAGGCTGGCGGGTGCGTCAACACAAAGATTAAGGTCACAAGATGCCTCCCTAGAGGGCAAGGCGGACACGACCTTATTATGATGGTGGCCAGGCCTTTATTGGAAGCAGGCAATGCACTGGAGATGTCCTAGATTTTCGAAGAATACATAGCATAGACTGCCGCAATGCACATAATTCAGGTCCGGCGAAGTTCACTTGGGATTGCGGTGCCGGGAGCAGTGGGCGCGGTGTTTCGGCTGTCTTGTTCAGGCGTCAGGCACCCCGCATCCGGTGCTGGATTCGGCGGGCCCCACCGAAATTATTCGGCGTCGGCGCCGAAGATCTACGACACACCACCGGGCTTTGATGGTGATGTTACTATTTTACACACATGCACAGGTTATAAGAACAGATCTGAGCCCCCCTTTAGATGCCTTGGGTGCGTAGCAAGAAAGCATGCGCACACATACACACACACAACAGGCCAAAAGATGGACCAAGTGCCCTCAACAATGCGCGCCCTTGTGGCGCCCAAGTACTGCAGACCGGAGGAATATCGAATCGTGCAGCTGCCGGTGCCGAAGATCGAGGAACCCAACCAGGTTCTGATTCGGATGCACGCAACAGCCATGCAGGCGGGCGACTGCCAGTTTGCCAGTGGCAGCGCCAAAATGTTCTTATCTATTCGGTTAGTCCCTACCATCTCCAATCTATACAAGTCCTTGCTCGCACGTTATATGTGCAAAACCCCACGTACATGCGCGCATCGCCACTGATGATGCGGCCATCGCCTTTCACAGGTTTCCCATGATCCTTGGGCACGAGGGTGCGGGGGTTGTGGCCGCCGTGGGCGCAGGGGTCCGGTCGCTCAGGGTAGGTGACGCCGTCTACGGGGTTGCGATCAAACGGCCGATGGGGGGATTCTGGACCAAGGAGAGGGGCGGTTGGTGTGCCGACTATGCTGTAGCGACGGAGGACCTGCTGCTCCCCAAGCCGGCGCACCTGTCGTTTGAGGAGGCGGCGTCGCTGCTGGGCAGCACGCTGACGGCGATGCAGATAACGCGAGCGGCAATGGGGCTCAACCCGGCTGCGTTCCCTGGCCAGAGCCTCGAGGGCAAGACGGCGTTGGTGACGGCAGGGCTGGGGGCGGCGACCAGCATCGCGTGCCAGGTGCTCAAGAATGTGTACGGCGCCAGTGAGGTGGTCACGACGGTGTCGACGGCCAAGGTAGGGCTGGTGGGGCAGCTGATGCCCGGGGTGGTGGACAAGGTGGTGGACTACCAGACCCAGGACGTCGTCGGCGAGGTTGGCCGTGGCAGGGTTGACTTCCTGTACAACTCGCGGCCGGCGCTGGCGCCCTACGTGCCGCTGATGAGGCCGAGGCAGGGCGTGATTGCTGCCATCCTGGCGATCCCGCCATCCCGGGAGCTGAGGGCGTCGATGGGGCGCGAGTTTGTGCCGCTGTGGTTGTGCTGGATACTGGACCTGGCGCAGGCGTGGTACTGGTGGCAGCTTCGGGGGACGGGGGTGAGGCTCGCGTTCATATCGGGCAACCCTGGCGTGCGCGAGGACGTTGAGAGGGCTGGCGAGGTCATCGCTGCGCGGCAGGTCAGGGCCGTCACCACGGTGGTGGCCTTGGATGACCTGGAGACGGTCAAGAAGAAGTGCGACGAGGTGCGCACGCTGAAGGGGGGCGTTGGGAAGCTGGTGATCAAGCTGTTGTAGGGCAGACAGACTGTGCCCCACACCAGCTCCATCCCCCCTGTCGACGCGCTCCCGACCCTGCTAAATTGAAATCGCGCTCTCTCCCAATTGCCCACTGCCCACTGCCCACTGCCCGCACGGTCGCGTCTCCTCATCCCCCCAGCCACCCACCCGTGCGCCGAATTGAGAATTGGCGGCTGCCAGTGGTCAGTCAGTCATTCACCACAGACCACACACCACACGCGACACTCGACTCTCGACTCTCGACACTTGACTCTCAACTCCCGCCCCCCCTCGCGACTCTCCTCTCGAAACTCCAATCTCACATGTGCACGCAGCCATAACATCTACCCAAGCTGCCCACCTCAAACAAACAATTGGGGAGCCTCACTGTCGCCACATGTCTGTGATTGACCCACCGTGACCACCGCCATCCCCCCCCTCCTCCAGCCGCGAACAAACGCACGCGCGAGCCGGTCCGTCAAGATGCTCCTGAAGCGCAAACGGTCCGACGACCAGCTCTCGCCCTTTGCCAGCTCGTCGCCGCTCAGGATCAACACCGCCGCCGGCAATGTCGCCACGATGGACACAGACCTCGACGTGAACATGGACATGGACATGGACGTGGACACGGACATGGACAGGAACATGAACGTCGACATCGACAGCCCCCTCTCCGCCATGACCATCCGCTCCCCGAGCCGCTCTTGCACGCCCTCCCACCTGCCCAGCCGCACCTTCAAGCGCCTTCGCAACGGCCGCCCCTCGGACCACGAGGTTCACCGTAAGTCAGCTGACGGCGGCGCCGCCTCTCCTTCACACGGCCCATTCCTGTCTTGGGGTATGTTCCCAGACTCACTCTTGCGTCATGTTCGGGCATCTACAGAGAACACCTTGCAAATGCTATACCGCGCCCAGCAGCGCGCCTACCAGCCTCAGCATGTCTTGTCGCCGCCGACCACCACCAGCCCCGCCGCCCTGCCATCGCCCACGGCCTCTCTCCAGCCCCACTCGCCCCAGGCACCCGCGCAGAACCAGCGCTCTTTGCACAGCTTCTGGAACATCCCTTCCAAGCCGCAGCCGCCGCCGCCTCTTGGCATCTTGTCCCCCGCGCCGGCCCCCTCTGTCGACGCCATCGTGGACCGCCCTACAAGCTGCGACGACTGCGGTGTTGATCTGGGCGGTGAGGAGGCAGCAGTCGACGATGGATATGGCTTTGAGACGTATATCAGCTCCTGCAGCTTGTGCTGCAAAGCAGTGTGCTTCTCGTGCTCTGTCAGCAACTTGGGCGAGCAGCGACGGTGCCTGGTCTGCGCTGGCAAGCAGGATACGGGTAAAAGATGGGTCGGCGGCGCCGGATTGGCCTCGGAGCCAATGTCGGTCTTTTAGTCAGAGTCAGGCGCAGGGACTTCTGGTTCGGCGCGAGAACAAGTTGGACATTGACGAGTGGGCCCGGTGTTTAGGAATGGCAGGCGTTTTGGATGGCACAATCGGCCAGGGGAACAAGTGCGGCGTTGCGGGATCTGCTTTGGCTTGAAATCATGCTGGCCATGTATCATATTAGGCGCGGTGTTGAATTAGAAACGACAATCTTTGCCAGCTCCTAGCCACATGTCGCCTGCTCGCATACTGCTTCATCGTGTAAGCTCGTGACGGCCCGTGGTTTGAGTTTCAACCACCGTAGACCATGGTAAACCGGGCTCAGTCGGCACAGTGTTGCAGGAGAACCTACAATATCCTCAACGGCAAGGCTGTTTGGATGTCCAAACGTTTGCCGTCGGTTTTTTTGGATATTCTAGTGGACTACTGCAGGTACATCTGCTCCACCAGGACAGCTGTTGGCACTTGCTGCTAATTGATAGACCATACTTGGTGAACTATATATCTATATCCACTTAAGGGACCTAGTGGTCGAGGTACTTAGACTAGTACCCGCCCAGATCTGGATGGCTCGCTGTCGTTAATGGCAGGGCTACCCAGGTACTGGAGTACCGTTACATGTAGTTTCCCTAGGCACACAACGGCTGCCCCTCGTTTGGCCCCGGGGACGACACCGCGGGGTAGCAAACAGCTCATAGAGACACACACGATCTTCAATTCGTCTTCCCTTCCCCTCCGCTCCCGTTCCTACTCTTCCTCTCCGTGCGCCTGACTTATCGGCCATTTGAACGCTTCCAAAGCACCGCCTGTAGCTCTGCTGGCAGGCACATACACACATTACAAAGTAGAATATCACACCAACACACGCCATCCGCAATGCCGCAGCAGGGAACTCGCGATGCTACCCATGCGGGTAGCTGGTACGAGGGCAGACCCGACGTCTTGTCACGCCAGCTTGACGGGTTTCTCGAAAAGGTGCCCGCGACAGTAGACGGCAAACAATTACCCATCCCCAAGTCCAGAGTCATCATAGCCCCGTAAGTACCGTGCCATGCCTTCCTGCCCGTCCCCCACCTCATCGTGCCCTTCCCCCGGCTGACTGTATCCGTCCAGCCACGCAGGCTACTCCTACTCTGGCCCCTGCGCCGCCTGGGCCTACAAATCTCTCGACCTCTCTTCCGCAAAGCGCATATTTGTTCTTGGGCCTTCTCACACGTACTATCTGAAGGGTTGCGCATTAACGACCTTTGCCAGCTATGAGACACCCTTCGGCAACCTGGCAGTGGACACCGAGGTGGTTGAGGCTTTGCGGGAGACAGGCAAGTTTAGCGACATCCCTGCGTCGAGTGACGAGGACGAGCACAGCCTGGAGATGCACTTGCCGTACATATGGAAGAGGCTGGAGCAGACACATGGCGACGCCAGCCCGGACGGGTTTCCGCCCATTGTGCCAATCCTGATCGGCGACAACAACGGTGCCAAGGAGAAGGAATTTGGTCAGTTGCTCGCCAAGTACCTCCAAGACCCAAGCAACGCGTTTGTAGTGTCTTCTGACTTCTGCCACTGGGGCTCACGCTTCTCATACACGGCCTACGTCCCGTCCGCGGACAGGATAGACCAGCTGAGGGTGCTTTCAAGGAGAGCAGCGGATACCGAGACGCCCATCCATGAGGGGATCAAGATCCTGGATGAGCTGGCCATGGAAGCGGTTGCCTCGGGGAAACATGACAGCTTTGTGGAGAACCTAAGGATCACCAAGAACACGGTGTGCGGTCGTCACCCCATCGGCGTGACAATGGCGGCCTTGGAAGCAGTTGGAGCTGGGCCTTTCCGGCTTCTGCGATACGAGAGGAGTAGTCTGGTGGAGAGGCTGGAAGATTCGAGTGTCAGTTATGCATCGTTCTATGCCGTTGCGTGAGGCAGTCCTGTCAGTAGGCCATTCTGCGGTGTTGTGTGGTCTGGATCAGATACTCTAATCTGTGTCCGCTACCTTGGGCGACGACGGGCTCATCGAGAAATACATTTTCAGGACGCACCCATTGACTGCTACTTACCTGTGGAAGGTAAGGGAACCAGCTCACGGGCTGCACCTGAGTACCGACTGCCTCTTGCTATTAGATCATGCTAGCTGTGCATGTGTCTGAGTGCACGAGGCAGACATTTCTCTTGCATGTTCACGTTGCTTAGCGGATACGTAAACGGCATCAGGGACCAACGGCTTCAATCTATCTTCTGGTTGAAATTAGGGGAGCCGATCAAATAAGTTGTGCATCGAGTCGGGCATTTTTGCTGGGCCACGGCCAATCTGCATTGCATGATAGAGCTATCGACATCAAAATCAACATCAACGTCGGCCCAAGACATCAAATAACAAGGGTCCGAGGGCTACATGGTTCTGTTCACAGTATGCAGCGTAATACATAGAGCCCTCGATGTTCTGATGCCCGGAGCCTTCATCTCGGCAGCATCTCTAAGGGGCCGGATACAATATCACATCGGATCCCAACAGTGGCACTGCCTATTCACAATCATGATCTGCTCGTAGAAGCCACTCTCCACAGCGAAAGGTAGATCAACCTTTTGATTCCGTGGCAGTTCTTATCAGGGCGTCCGAAAGAGTAGTACATTGCGAAGGGCAGGTGATTGTGTAATAATTCAGTTAAATTATCAAACATCGCTCCAGGTGGTGGCCACCTACTCGGGGAAGGGGGTAATCATGGTGGGCTCATCGCACGTTTTAAGCCGTAACCGGTGGCCTGTACTCCGTACTGCACTGCAGCTTCTCTCAGGGAGCAAGACGGAAGACAGGGACTATAGTGTAACTTGGGAACAATAGCATATTAGAGCTGGACTCGGGTCGCATAGGTCGGTACCACCAGACGATGAATGGACGATATGTGAAGTAAGCTTTTACAGATCGGGCAGAGACGAAAAAAGAATGGATGGATGGCACAGGACAGGGCCGAGTCTCGGATCCCGGAACGAAGGCGGGGCGGGTTCTTTGGACGAGAAAGAGAAGACACAGGTGTGTTTGGTGATGGCAAGTGGTGGAGGGTTTCAGAGCAAGTGGCGGGTGGTCAGGCTGGCAAAGAGCTCGAGACGTAGTTGGCCAGGGACGATGGCCTCTTGGTTTGAGCCGCGGCGGACCGTGGTCCCAAAGTGCTGGAACGGCAGGACCACAGGACCTCAGGACCACCGCAGGTACCATCGCCGAGTATCACTGCAGATGGCCAGACGGGATGGGCAAGGCGTGAGAGGCACGAGATTGGTTATGAGCATGCGAGCATGTCGCAGTCGGTCTATAGTCTCACAGTAGTGTGGTCAGCGTCCAGGCTGGCTGGCTGGGCTGGCTGGCTGGCTGCTGTCCGGATAGATGGGTCATGGTGTTGCGTAGAGTGATTCGGCAGTGTCTCAGAGGGACTTGCAACAAGACCGGGAACAGGGCCTGGGGCCAGGGGCCCGGACACGGACACGGCGCGGGCGCGGCATGGACCTAACGCAGGACGGTGCCGTGTTTAGTGGACTGGAAGGACTGGCTGCTGACTGTATGTGGCTAGGCGGGCGGGCGGCGGGCAGTGCGTGTGGTTGCTTCATCCCAAGTCGAAAACCGCGGGTGCTGTGGGCTCGCTTGACGATTGATACCTCGACAGTGCAGTGGCGGCCACCAGTGACAAGCAGGTCCATGTCAAGCCGAGGCTGTGTGCGTTGGACAGTGTACGCTGAGGTCATGCCTGTTGACCAAGTGTAAGCCGCGCCCATGCCACACGATGATGGTGTAGAAAGTAATGATGATGCCACCGTGGATGAGCACGTCCTGTAGACGTGTAGTTCCGCTTGTCATAAATATTCGGCCAGCAGCACAGGCGATGGGTGCGAGGAAAAGGCTAGTCTACATACTGATAGTCTAGCTGTCCACACCATGCGGTGGTACCACGGCAAGTCTAGGCGGAAACATTGGCAGAGCAAAGAGAGGGTGGGGACTGGGGCGGCAGGGTGGGTGGGTCGTGGTCTGGTTCATCTTTCGGCCAAACATGTCTGGCGCCGATCGACATGGTGAAACTGGCAGAGAAGAAGCCCCTGTCCCTGTCGGGCCCCGTCAGGGTCCCCAACCCCCCGTCTCGCGAGGTCGCCGCCCCGTCGAGAGAGCAGTGCATTGCATTGTCATTGTTGGTCGTGCATTGTGCACTCGACGGGGCTGCATGATGCTGAGAGCCTGAGAGCCTGAGAGCCTCTGCACGCCACTCGCAGCCCACTCAGCCCTCGCCCTCGCCCTCGCCCTCGCAGACTCGCCACTGGTAGCCGCAGCCGCAGCCGCAGCCGCAGCCGTCAAGTACGTGGGGTTGATGCGAGATGCACGCACTGGTAGACTGTTGGTTGGCGGGCAGGCCGCGGGCAGTGCGAGGGAGGCAAAGGGGGCGAGCTGGACTCGTGTGGTACACACACGGTATTCAGCCAGGTCCAAGTGGTGCCCGGGTGGTCATTTGCTCGGCTCGTGTTGGTGGGTTAAGATGGAGGATTCGAGGTGGTAGTAATAAGCTGATGGAGATTGCAATGGGACTCGGGAGATGCTTGGTGCTTAGTGCTTGGTGCTTGGGTCTGCGTGCCTGGGTATCGATCATCCCTCGCACTAACAATTGAATACGGTGTACCTACACAGACACAAAACTGGAGGAATGCCAATGGCAGACAGAATACACACATCAATTCATACACTACATACAATCATACCCATTATAGTACACACATATATATACACATATAGTCAAAGCAAGATAGACCAGTGGCTCGGGTTGGTGGTCGTGGAATGAGGGTGACATGGTATCCTGCCCGTACTGACTGGCGAGTCTGTGTTTGTTCCAAGCTTGTCGCAGCCAATCTCGCAGGCCCCCCTGCCCCCCAGGACCCCGGGCAGCCAGTCCCAGACTGCCTCCAGAACTGCCACCAGAACTGCCAGACAGACCCAGGCCGGCTCCCCAGGCGCCCAGACCCCTGCACCCTCCCCCCTTCTGGCTGCTCTTCTTCAGCTGCCTCTCCCGTTGCCGCCAACTTGCGCACCGGCCCACCTGCATTCGACCACCCAACATCGACTTCTTTTTTCCAAACACTCCCCTTTCTTCCAGCCCGGCAGTTTTAACTTTTCGTTTCCTTACCCTATTCTATTTCCTTACACATCATCACTCAACACCGCGAGACGAACCACATCACGGGGGGCATCGCCAATTCTGCTCTGCTCTGCTCTGTCCTGTCCTCCTCTGCCCCTTTCCGTCTCTGTGCTGCTCAATTCGATCCGAATCCGACCTCGACCTCGACTTCGACCTCGACGCATCACTGCACACCGCATCGCTTCTGCTCCTACTGCTACTTCGGCCTGTTGTCTCGACGCCGACTACACCACTGTCGCTTGTCGCCGACGGTCAGCTCTTTGAGCCTACCAAGGGGACGCCCTGACGCCCTCACCAATCCAATCCATCCATCATGAGTGTACGTGTGGTTCCTTTCCCCAACCTTGCTCAATCGGGTACCAGTCCATATTCCCTCTCATCATGTGGATCTCCAATCATACCTGTCCATTCATCATCGTCATTGTCTCTATCATCATTGCCATCATCACACCAACTGTGCATGACACTTCTTGACTCCAGTGTGGAACCGACTCGCTGACCTATTGCCACAGTACGGGTGAGCTTTCCCTTCCCAGCCATACTGCGCAACGACGTTGCTCTCCATCAATTATAAACCACGGTGGAGCCAAGACCGTACCACCGACCCGGCCGACATGGATTGGTTCTACGACTCTCGTCACATTCTTCGCTGACCATAATCTAGATACGGTGGTAGGGCCAACCCCTACGCCCAACAAGACTCTCCCGCCGGCCAATACGGCTCTTCAGGAGTGGCATCGCCCCCTCAGGCTAGCTTTGGTCAGTCTCCCCGCCCCGGCGGCGGAGGCTACAACCAGTACGACAATGGTGCCTACGATGGGGCCTACGGTGAGTGCTGCGCCAAGCAGACCCGGGAGACGAGCCCCGGCTGTACAGTCCACGCTGCGCGCAGGATCATCTGACGGGTACCAGGAAATAATGTTGAGATGGCACCTCTCTCGCAAAACGGGGCAAGCTTTGCCGCCAGCGACCCCAACGCCATCCTGAACGAGTGCCGAGAGATAGGACAGGGCATTGACGCCATCGACGGCAACCTGAACCAGTTGCGCATGCTTCAAGATCGATCCCTCAACGAGACCGATTCCAGCAGCTCAGGCACCTCTCGCGAGCTCGACAACCTGTCCGCCGACACAATGTCCATGTACCGGGAGCTCACCGACCGCGTCCGCAAGATGAAGTCTTCACCAGACGCCAAGACCCCCAAGAACGCACCCCAGGTCGGCCGCATCGACCGTCGTTTGAAAGAGGCCATCCAACAATACCAACAGGTCGAGGCCGCTTTTCGGAAGAAGATGCAGTCTCAGATGGAGCGGCAGTACCGCATCGTGCGACCAGACGCCGACGAAGGCGAGGTCCGCGCTGCCGTGGAGGATATGTCTGCCGGTGGACAACAGGTTTTCCAGCAGGCTATGATGCAAAGCAACCGACAGGGTCAGGCACGAGCTGTCCTGAACGCCGTACAGGATCGTCACCGGGAACTACAGAAGATTGAGCAGCAGATGATCGAGCTGGCTCAGCTCTTCCAAGACATGGATACCTTGATCATCCAGCAGGAAGAGGCCGTTGTTCAGATAGAACAAAAGGGCGAGGAAGTTGTCGAGAATCTTGACAAGGGTAACCAGGAGATCGAGGTCGCTGTCGAAACAGCAAGGAAGACACGAAGGAAGAAGTGGTACTGTGTTGGTATCAGCGGTACGAACCCCCCCCCCCCCAGAACGCATATACACGTTCTCTCGAAAATCCATTACTGGAGTTTTATACTGACAGCCTCTGAAGTTCTCATTGTTGTCGTTATTGTGATCATCGTAGTGGTCTACATGGCGGTCACAGGGAAATTCAACAGCAGCAGCAACAACAACAACACCAACACCAACGCCAAGCGCAGCGCAGTTGAATTTGAGGGCGAGCGACCTGTCACCAACATCTACGCGCAGTCCAAGATTGTGAATGTGGGGCAGGACTACGACGAGAACTCGGCTCCGCTGGAGAGATTTTCCGGTGTGACTAGCGGCAAGAGCCTCGCTGGTCGGATAGTGATGTCAAACAACTGGAAGACTGGTTCAGCCGAACGACGGCGGTGGGACATGACGCTCCCTGTACCAGTCGACAGCATCGACGTCAAGCGTGGCGATTACAACGAGGTCGATTAATCCCCATTAGTTGGGACTTTTGTGCTACTATGGCTATAAGAGGGTGTCAATTGAGATGTGAACTTTCCCACCACGAGAACCATCTCTTATCTACTGCGAAGGGAAGAAGAGATGAAGGACGCGGTGGTCGCGGGGAATACCTTGGGAAATATCAACTGACACGGATCCGCCATCTTTATACACCACGGACCAAGCATATGGCTACACACTGGAGCTGCATGAAATGCATGAGGTTGATCCTAGTCTCATGAGATTACGGCTTGATGCCGACAAGAAGCCTAGGATTGTATGTTTGTTGGCACTCGATACAGAGTTGTTATATACCAAATTCGGTCGCTTGAATGACTGCGGGGCATGTTGCACTTATTAGATCATTACACTCTTGGGTGGGGAGAGATCCGTTCTGGGGGCTTGGACTTGAAACTCTTTCGCATTATCACAATACTGGCGTTTAATTGACCTTTTCTTGATTCTATATGCCTCAAAATGACTTTCACTGGGAAGCAGCAAATGCTACACAGAATCTTGATCGGGGTCCGATAGGGACGCGATGATAATGTTTTGTTGATCAGGTACCGGCCTCCACCCCAACGATGCGGCATGGGGTGGTGTCATCGCAGTCAGCAGAATACGGCCCGGGGGGGGGGGGGGGCAAGAGGGGGTCGGGTGACGGTGCTGTGTCTGCGCAGTCACCTCTCGAATTCACGTTGCTCACGCCGCCATGGACCATTTTGGGCGAGCGCTGTCTCCTCACCCAGAACGGCATCCCCGCCGGCTGCCGTGGCCCTCATACATGCCATGATGACGATGTGTGTTGCGACTCTTTGTCAGGCTTGCCATCTGCAGCCGCTGATAATGTGGTGGCTGCGGCAAGCGCACCCGAGTGCAGGCAAAACAGCCCCTTATGAGGCGGCCAGCTCTCAGTCCGACCCAGTAGAAACAGGGCCCCGCTCAATCAACGCTCTCTTGTCGTCAACTTGCTGCTGGGATGACTGCTCCTGCCCGTATTCTAGTCGTAGGCCTGGACTCCAGCCATGCGCAGCGACGCCAGCGGGCAACTCGTCGTCAGATGGACGAGCACCCCCGGCGCTTCGTTGCCTCTCGAGCCCGGCGTCGACGACCTTACGCAGGACGCTCATCCTCTTCTCAAACTCGTCGACAATGGCTCCGTAGTCCTCCTTGGCCTTGTCCTGGACAGCCCCTGAGGGTGACGAGGCAGACATGCGCAGGTCGCGCTCGTCGAGGGAGGCCTTTCTCGCCCGTGTGCCAGGTCCTTGTGCTGGTGCGGCGGCTGAGGACGAGATAGCATTGTCGCCGACGCCTTCGATACGGAGGACTAGTTGTTGGCCGGCCCCGCTCTCATTTTCCAAGGTGTTGGGGTTGTTGCTGTGCTCTTCCGTCATGACGCTGGTTTTGGCGGCCACAACGGCCCATGAGGAGGACAGAGATGACACCCACGCCACGTCGTAGCCCGGGGCTGATGAGGCGGACTGGAGGTTGTCCGACGGGTTAGGCACGAGGTCCAGGACTATGGCGCGCTCGCTGGGAGGGGCTTGCAGCGGCGGCGCCCTGTTGGCGGATGCGTCCGGGGAGGCTCGGTGGCCGTGGCGTGCGAGTGCCTGGGTAAGGATCTCAGGGTCATCGTCTGAGAATATATAGTGGACATGCGGGTGATGTGTTGCGCGGGTGGTGCTGTCGGTGACGAGGGTGAAGAGTGGTTGAAAGGGAGGCTGTGACCGCTGCAGAGGTTCCTCGTGCACTGGGGGCAGCAGCTGGGCTTGCCCCTCGGTGGCGACCGGGGGCTCGGCGACAGGGCCGGGAGGAGGGTGTCGGTCGGGCGATGGGTCGGGGCCGGTCATGATGGGTCTCTGCCGAGGTCGACGCGTTGTGATGCCGGTGACAGTGTCGGTGAGGGTGTCGGTGGTGTCGGCGGTCGGGAGACGGGGCGGAGGCCGCTGGTTTCTTGGATGACAAAGTGGCACGGAAAGACGGCTGAAGCTGGGTGCGCTCGCATGTTGAAGCCGTGCTAATCGGCAGCGGGAAAAGCATGCAACATGGCGGCAAGAAAAAAAGGACAGAAGTGAAGAGCCGTGGCTGCGGTCCTGCGTGCAGACAGCGGAGGCCAGAGGAGGGTGAGTGAGTGAAGTTGCGGCTGGTCGGCTGTTCGAGCGCAGTTGGGGTCTGTTGGTTGGTCGCAGCGACGTCACAACCCCTGTTAGCTTTGGAGAAGATGTTAGGAATGTTCCTCCTACACAGCTACAGTAGCCCCCGGGGGTGGGGACAGGCTGCTCTGTTATCGGTCGACATGTGCCGAAACATTTGCACCAGTAGCCAGCAGAATAGCATACAACACAAGAGGGTAACTGGGCTCGACTTGATATTCTTCTCTCCATAATGCATATGCTCCCATTCCTTGCATCATACTGTATGTCGTTTTGCAGGTTGGTGGGGTACAAACCATGAGCGTGGTGAGGTGGCTCGCGGCCACGTCCCTCCACCACCAACACGCCTGCACTCTGTCAAGGACGGAAGAGATATCACAGAACCTGACCCGAGTCCGATTACGAGCTTGGAGGGCCGCAGATAACCAACAAACACATTTGACAGGCATGTCGATCGTCCGCCACGTTGCAGCCAACTTCCCGAAACCATTGCTAGACATAAGAGCGGAGTGCCGTGTAGTGCCGCACGGTCTCCAGGGCCGCCGGCCTTGGAATGGCTGCAATCTGAGTCGTGATACCACCTCTCTGTGAGCGGAGTAAGATAGACAGACTGTCTCCTCCTTAGCTGGCAGCTCTGTCGCACGCATTGGTCAGCTGGAACTGCAGCCACGCACGTTATCTCAGCGGGAGGCCAGACTGCAGGGCAACGGGGGGAGTGGTGAGCGCACTCTTGTCTCATGAGCGAGGGACTCTGCAGAGGGACAGCCTCGATTTAGCGTCGCGTCCGTTGCCGGCGGGCAGCCCGAGGTGAGAATGGCGACGGGGAAGAAGAAGGATGGCCTCCCTAAGGCCGAGGGGTCCCCCGACTTGTTCCAGGCTCTTTCATCTCGAACCCTGCGAGACTGGTCAGCAGGCGGGGAGGCGCGGAGGCGCGGAGGAAAGCAGGACATCGCAGGGCGATATTGCAGGGCACCGGTTTCCGGGCGAGGCGAGACCTACTTTGGCGGCACATGGGGCATTGTCCCCTGGCGGATTCCTGCCTGATCCACTGGGAAATGCAGTGTTTATGGAAGTTGTGACCGCATTTGCCAGACACTGGCCATGTCTTTATTCAGCACGCTGTTTAGGCGGAGGGAGATGCAGTAGGGGCAGGCAGGCTGACAGAGTTCGCAGTCGTCTCCAGGAAAGCGACACGATGGGCAGGACCCGTCAAAATGGATCTGGCAGATGCCGCAGACATCGTCTTCGGGAATGTCCCAGCGCCATGTTGCCACAGCCGCCCACTTCTTGATCTTGACCTTCATGGCTTGGGGTTTGGGATCGGCGGTGTTTTGGTGGGGGGGTTTTGGTATTATTCTTCACATGAGGAGGCGATAGTCATGCGGTTGTTGTATATGTGTGCACATGTGTGCATGTGCAAGGTGGGAGTGGGTGGGAGTGGACACCTGAGTGTAGAGCAGAGCCGAACTGTGGTGTTGGGTCGTGTTTATATCCACAATCACATGTACCGACCACGACCAAACTTTTGGAGGTTGTGTGACGCGGTCGCGTATTTGCAGTTGGCCCAAGCTCCCCAGGTGAGATCGATCTGCTCTCAGGCTTCAGGCCTAGGCCCAGGCCTGCCGGCTGGGTATCAGCTGAGTACCAGACTATGTAGGCTACCTAGCTTTGTAGGCAAAGTCTATCTGATATCTCGTCACCAGTGCCACTGCTCGTCTGCAGCAAGCAGCCTTCAGCTTGGCTCTACTGTTCTCCACTGTTCTCTCTATACCTTTCGCCTGCCAAAATTGCCAGACTGGGTCCATGGGCGGCACCTGAGTAAAGACCCAATCACGACATCAACCCGGCTCTTCCTCCGCACTCGCCTCCGCACCCACCTCCGCACCTTGACCTCAACCTCAACCTCGACCTCGACTTCGACTTCGAACTCGACCTCACCCTCGATATCGGCCGATCCTGATCCAACTCAACTTGTCCCCAGAGACGGCTCAGTCCTCCCCGTGGGGCTACCACCCGGTGAAGTCAAAATGGCCACCATCGCCATCCTCCGGCCCTTTCCTGGAGCTGCCACTCGATCGCCTCTCCGGCCCTCCGCCTTCACAAGCATTGCCGCCGCCGCCTTCACTTCCCGCCGCTCCCTGTCCTCCTACCTCGTGACCCCCAGCGAGCTCAACGCGGCCCTCAAGAAGAACCCTCCTTCCCCCATCAGTACCGACCCGCGCATTATCCCCCTCTGCGCGGCATGGTTCATGCCAAACGACCCCGACCGCCGCACCGGCATCCAGGCCTTCCGCCAGCAGCGCATCCCAAAGGCCCGCTTCTTTGACCTCGACAAGGTCATCGACAAGCACTCCGAGTACCCCCACATGCTCCCCGCTCCCAAAACCTTCGCCGCAGCAATGAGCGAGCTGGGTATTCGGCGCGAGGACACAGTCGTTGTCTATGACACCAAGGAGCTGGGCATCTTCAGTGCCCCCCGGGTAGGCTGGACTTTGAAGGTCTTTGGCCATCCCAAGGTCCACCTCTTGAACAACTTCCGTCTCTGGGTTGACCAAGGATTTCCCACAGAGAGTGGTGAGCTGTACAACGTCGAGTGTCACCCGTACCCCATTCCCAAACTCGACTCGGATAAGGTTGCCAGCTACGAGGACGTCAGGGAGGTGGCTTTGGACTACAACAAGGAGGGTGCAGAGGGCGTGCAAATCCTTGACGCCAGGAGCAGTGGGCGCTGGACTGGCAAGGACCCGGAGCCGAGACCCGGTCTATCGTCCGGGCACATCCCCGGCTCTATCAACATTCCCTTCAATGAGGTCCTCGACCCCGACACCAAAGCCTTCCTCCCCAAGGACGAGCTGCAGAACCTGTTCAAAGCAAAGAATGTCAATCCGAGCAAACCCATCATCTCAAGTTGCGGGACTGGTGTCACAGCTGTGGTAATTGACACTGCCCTGGACGAGGCTGGTTATGGTGCCCCTGAGACACGCAGGGTCTACGACGGCAGCTGGACGTAAGTCGATCTCTCTTATGTGCTTTGAATCCAGATATGCTAATGTTTTTTCTGCAGAGAATGGGCCCAACGAGTTCGTACTTCCGATTCATTAATACGTAAGATATAATACAGATAGTTTAAGTAAATAAAAAATTCATAATTTAAAAAACTATAAAATATAATTATTTTATTAAAGTTTAATAAATTATTAAAAAAAATTATTATATAAAATATATTAATTTTTTAAAAAATAATTATTATATAAAATATATTAATTTTTTAAAAAATAATTATTATATAAAATATATTAATTTTTTAAAAAATAAATATAATTTTTATTATATAAAATAAATTTAAATTTAAATAAATTATTAAAAAAGAATATTATATAAAATAAATTTAAAATTAAATAAATTATAAAAATATAATATATTTTAAAAGTATTTTAAATTTATATTATATAAATAATTAATTTTTAATAGTATTTTAAATTATAATAAATTTAAATATTATTATAATAATATTAAAAAATAATTAATTAATTATTATTATAATTATAATTAATTTTAAATTAATATAATAAAATAAAATATAAAAATTAATAATAATATTTTAAATAAAAGTATATTTATTATTTTTTAATTATAAAGTTTAATATAAATAAATTTATTATAATTAAATTTTTAATTTATTTATAATTATAAAATATATTTTAAAAAATAAATATTATATTAAAAAAATTATAATTTATATAATTTTATTTTATTTTATTAAATTATATTAATTATTTTAAAAATAAATTTTATATTTATTATAAAAGGCATAGTTTTTAAAGTAGCCTATAAAAAGCGTTTAATATTAATTATTAACTAATATAAAGAAGAAAAAAAGAAAAGAAGTAAATTCTTTAGTATATTTACTGCTTTTTCTTTATAATAGAGCTGCTTAAAAATTGCTAGTATGCTGCTTAAAGGTTGCAGGTTTACGCCTTACTACTAAACCCTTGATATTAAGTAAATAGCCTATAATATTATTCCTCCCTATAAATTTTACCTAATATAAATAGTATACACTCTTAGTTAAATTAGCTAGGCAGCTTATTTAAATAGGTAGTTTGTATATTTAACTCTCCTAAATATAAAATAGTAGCTACTTTTTTATTAAAAATTAAATTTTTTTTTTTTTATAACCTTATTAAATCTTTTCTTATTTTCTTTTTTATTTTAATTACTAGTTAATAACTACTCTTTCTTTTTATTATAAAGCAGCTACCTTAATCTGCACATTATAAGCGTACAATTTAATTATAGTAAAGTAAACTCTAAAAAGTAAGCTAAACTATTTATATAAAAAAATTATTAAGCTGCTTTTTAAGAATAAGATTGCTACTTTTAAAGCGTTTATTGCTTTTAAGCTGTTATTTTTTGCTAAGGTAAGTAATAAAGCTAAAAATAAGCCAAAAGTTTTTAACTATTTTAATTAAAAAATAAAGGTAATTTATAAAGTAAAAAGCTAAAGAAATAATTAAAATAAAAATAATAACAATAAAAAAAAATTTAGTAATAAATAGGCAACTAATAATAATAATACTAGTATTAAAAAGTTTACTAATCTTCTTTATAATAAAAATAGCTATCCTATAAAGCAGGCGGCTTACATAATTACTACTATAAAGGCTATAAAAAAGTTAAAAACTAAATCCTTTATTTTTATTATTAAGCTATAAATTAGCTATAAATATACTATAATATTTCTTAAGCCTAAGCATTTTATTAATAAGCACTTTATTACTAAGCAGCTTTATTAAAGCTAGAATTAAAATAAATTATTTAAAATTAATTTTATTAACTAACTAAACTTTAAATTAAGTAATAAAAAAGCTACTTTTTACTATACTACTTTTATTAATTAAGAAAAGCTTTACACTAAAAAAGCTATTTATACTTTACCTTTTATTACAACTAATTACTATTTTAGTATAGCTTACATTACTACGTTAAAATAGCTAAAGCCTATTTTTTATAATACTTTACTAGCTTTATTTTTAAAAGCTGCCTTTATAAAAAAAAAATAGTTTAAGATTTTAAAAATTATTATAAAAAATAAAAATAATAGTATTATTAAAATTATAATTAAAAATTTATAAAATAGCTTTAACTATACAAATACTATAACCCTTAAAGAAATTTAAACTGCTTTTATTAAAAACTCTAATAGCTATAAAGCCTATATTAAAACGCTTTTTATTAGTAATTATTTAGCTATTTATTAAACATATTTTTTTAATTATATTCGCAGCTGCAATATTATTTCTAATAACTTTAATTTAAACATTTATTTCTTTTATATTTTATATATAGTAAACAATCTTTAAGTAGCTTATATACTTACTTTTAGCGTATTTTTTATTAATTATTATTATTTTTATACTAGTGCAGATGGCAAGTTTAGTTATAAATGCTTTTAGCTTGCTATTAATATAAAAAAAGCTTATATACTAGCTTTTACATGCCTTTATTTTAATTTTTATAACTTTAATAAGTTAAAATATAATAATACTCTATTTTTACTTTTTAGCTATTAATATTTTTTAGGTTTTATTATAGTTTAAATAAATGCTAATAGTGCTATAATATACATATATATAAAAGGTAAAAGTATTACTAAAATAGTTACCCCTTTTTTATATAAAGCTATTATAAGCTTAGTTATAGCTAAAAAAGCTATATTTTTATTTATAAAGATTTAATATAATTACTTTTATAAAAGCGGCTATAATACAGTATTTATTTTAATAAAAGGAGATTTTAATAGTTTTAATATAAATTTATAGATTTTTTAATACCCCTTCCTTTTTTTTTTTATTAACTTATAATATAAAATTATACTAATTTAATATAGTAAAAAATTAATACTTTTAAGCAAATTACTAGTTTTATATAAAATATTAATAAGTATTTTTATATTATACTTAAGCACTTTAAATTTAAAAGCGCTAATTTACTTAAGCTATATAATCTAAATAGCTGCTAACTTAGTACTTTATAAATAAAAAATACTAATAGCTAAATTACTATTTAAAGCAATTATAAAAATAGAATTAAAATCTTAGCTACTAATTTTAGTAAAAGCTTTTAACTTTAAATATAATATAAAGTATAAAAAAAGTATAATATAAAGCATAATTAGGAAAATATTAAACAGTAATAATAGTAGCAAGTTTATAGCTATTAAATTTTTTTTAATAAAAAAGTACTAATTAAAGAGATTTTTAATATTAAGTTTATTAAATTAGTATATTTCTAAGCTTTTTTATAGTTTAAAGTTAGCTATAGTAAACCTTTTATAATACTTTAGCTACTACTAATTTTAGCTTTTTAATTTTAAATTTATAAAAAAAGTAATTAAGGAAATTTATTAAATTATTCTAATTATTATAAGGCTAGAACTGCTTTTTTATAGCTTTATATCCTATTTTTAAGCTATTATTTATTATAGCTAGGCTATAATAGCTCTTAAACTAAGCTAAAGCTTTAATATTTTATAAATTCTTTAAAAGTTATTAGTTAGAGATTATATAGCCTTTTTATTTAATTAGTACTTCCTTTTTCTAAAGGCTGTTAAAATACAGGCAGCCTTTTTATTAAGCATTATAAACTTTAAAAATACTTTTTATTTAATATTTAGCTTTAAACTTATTAAATTTTTTAATTACTACTAATAAATAAGAGTTTTTAAATTATTATAAAAGCAGCAAATTCTTTGCTACATATATTAAGAGGTTTATATAAAAGTAAGGGTATATTCTGCCTAGAATATTTAACTTTACTATATAAAAGCTAATTATACGTTTTACTTAGTATTTTATATAAAGCTATCCTAATTTCTTATTAAATAAATTTAAAATAAAGTTTTTAAGGTTAATTTAAATATAGTTTTTTACTTTAAATTATTTTGCTAAAGTTTACTACTTATTAGCAGAATTCTTTATATACTGCTATATAGCTGCTATTACTATCTAAGTAAAATTAATAGTATTTTTAAATTATTAAATAAAGTTTTTAGCTTTAATTTTTAAATTTCCCTTAAACGCTAATAAAAAAGCAACTTTTTTAATAAAAGGGATATAGTACCTGTGTTATAAAAAAAATAGGCTAAGTTTTATTATTATAGTATTCCAGTTATTAATAGCTAATTATATATTAAAAAAAAGGTTTACTTAATTAAATTGTAAATACATTATAAACGCTTAGAAATAGTTTAATACCTTTTAATTTACTTATTTAATAATACTATTTATTTCTAAGTAATAAATAGTATTTAAGCGCTACTTTATATATATTAACTTATAAAGCTGTTTTTAGAATTTTTTTATTTAATTAGCCCTTTTATTACTAACTAAGCGCTAAGGAAAGTTATAAAATCTTTAGTAGCAATATATAAAAGTTTTTATATAGAATTTAGCTTTTATTATAGTTATAGCTTTAAAGGTAACTGCTTTATTTAGTTAATTAGTAATTATTATAAGAAAATAAAGATTTATAAGCTTAATAGCTAATAGATTTATTATAAAGTCTATTAACAGCTTATTTTATATTTTATTAAAAATAAGTAGTAGCTTTAATAGCTCCTTTTTCTAGTATTTTTATATTATTTTTCTCTTATATATATTGCAATTATATAAAAAGCAGTATATTATATAGTATATATTAGGCTAAAAGTAAAACCTAGTTAATAGTATTAATATTATATTCTTTCTTAAATAACTTATAAGATAAAAGTTATATATATATTAAATAAGTATTATTTATAATAGCTTATAAGCTAAAATTTATATTTACTTTTTAAAATATAGTAAATAGTTTTTAGTTATTTTATATTTACTTATTAAAATATTTAAAAGTAAATGCTTAATTAAGCTTAAATTAGGAAGAAAATAAGTTTTATTTAATACTATTTAATATATAGCTATATAGTTAGGGTTTTCTTTTAAACTTTTATCCTAAGTATTTTATAGGTCCT